TGTATCTCAACCCTTTAACTCCCAAAATTTCATGAGTAATCCTCCTTACTGTCTGCCATACAATTTATGTGATGTTAAATTTAAGAATTTGGAGTTGGATCAACCAATAATCCTCAAATTGATATTTGTCTTAATTCTCGTTACTTGACTGCTTTATGTCATAAGGAGAAATTCTGTCTAGGTTAACAGTGGAACTTAACCCTTTAACTCCCAAGATCTCATTAGTAATTCTCCTTACTATCTCCTATACAGTTCTTGTGATGTTAGTTTGGAGGATTTAGTATTGGATCATCTTATAATCCCCTAACTGATATTTTTCTTATTCTCATCACTTGTCTGCTTGATATTGTTTTGATATTGTAATGAGAAATTCTTTCATGATCACTTATGGGAGTTAAAGGGTTAAATGGGGGATTTCAACATATTGTAATGATTAAAATATTCTTATGCTTTCAAATGTACCAGTAACAAAAAAATGTGATGAGAATCTGATGATATGAAAGGCTTGCAATGCAAAAACCTGTTGCTGGTAGCTTATGTCTTTAATGCTTAAATTTTCATGGGAAATGCTTTACTTTGAAAGTGGGGATACAGAAGTTTTTAAGGCTGATAGAAGTACACTGTTTGCAAGTAATAAAAGGCAAATTGACAATCATACCTTAATGCTTGACATGCTTCACTCATACATGTCAGTTGTGTGTACCTACCATTGTAGAGGTGTCTTTAAAAAGGTTTTTTTTTGTTACACAAGGCAACCTTCAGGGTGGAAGAGTAGAAGACCACATAATGATGTTTACTTGGCATTTGTACTTAATGCAATCATATATTCAAGCAGTACTCTACATACATATAACTGATTACATGATGTCTTAACCCTTTACACTCCAATATCAGAATGCATATTCTCCAAGCTGTTCTCTATATATTTCCTTATGTGCTGGCAAGGAGAATTTGTTTAACTATCGAGAGTTTCTTCAGTTAATTATCATTTCCTTTATTCTCATGACCTTAATGTGTGACTCAGGGGTGATATTGAATGGAGAAATTAGATGCTAGTCACTCTCAGGGATTAAAGAGTTATTAGCTGTACACATTTTCATGTATATGCTCCTCGCGTTTGTTGGCAAAAATAGCTAATATTGTTAGGAAAGCAAACAAACAAGTGAACAGAAGACAGTGAAATTAGGGAAACTGTAAACTTTACCATGTGATAGAAAAAGCATCACAGAATACTTGAGAGGGAAAACTTGAATTGAACAAGCTAATTTCCTCATATCTATTGCCGTTCATGTTTTTGATAAAATAAAATTTAACCCTTTAACTCCCAATTCAAATTTTTAATTTTCCTTACTGTTAACTTTACAATTCTTATAATAGATGGTTAACAATTCTTATAATGTTAGTTCTAAGAATTAAGTATTGGATCAACTAAGTATCCCCCAATTTATATTTTTCTTTATTCTCATCACTTATATGATTGATATTATATTGATATTATATTAAAGTTCACACGGCAACCAGGTGGACAATCAGACACAGTTTGATACTACTCTGGTTTGCAGATTTAATGAATGTAACCGAAGAAGTTACAATTCATAGACCCAACGTTTCGACACTCCTGTCTAGTGCCTTCATCAGGGGTGATCTAAACGCTGCAACAAGAGGTCCTTTTATATGATCACTAATTAGCGGCCTTTTTTCTGACGAGGTGTAAATAGGTGTCAGGAAGCAAACCGCCATCGTCACGATTTAAAGGAGCTTTGGCGGAGTTAATATGCCAAGCCTCCAAACAAAGGCGCTGGTGGTAACGCCGATTAGCGGTCATAATTTTAGAATTATCCCACCCAATTGTATGGTTGGTTAGGCATGTATGCCCCGATAAAGCTGAATTTTCCTTTTTGCTAAGGAAAACCGCTTTTTGGTGCTCTTTTAACCGTGTACCAAACTGACTTTGGTCTGTCCGATGTATTCGTTGTCACAGTCATTGCAAGGAATAGAATAAATGGCGTCGGTTCGTTGTTTTTTCGTGACAGGATCCTTAGGTTTGGCGAAAATATGCCCCAAAGTTTGAAAAAGTTTTTGAGCAACTTTAACGTTGTGGCTATTCAAAATTCTCTTGATGGGTTCAGTAACACCCTGTATGTAAGGAATAACAGCAAAACCAGTCGCTGGTTCCCCTTCATCAAGAGCGTTACTATTTGTAACTGGTTTTTGGCAGTTACGGAGAAAAGTCTTTGTATAGCCATTTGCCTTTAAAAAACTACTAAAATATGACATATTTGTTCACTGAGGTTTTAATCATTAGCCGTCACACAGAGATATAAAATAGGGTTTGTGAAAAAAACCAGGGCAATAAAATTAAAGATTCAGGAGAAGCATTCATGATTTTAACTTGTTTACTGATGTTCTCACCTGAATTCAATCTGGAATGAGAACTCTGCAAGACTTCTGTTTTATCTTGAATTAAAACATAAAATTCAATTATTTGCAGGCAGGTTGATGAGGAAATTAGAGGAATGGATATGTGTTACATAAAAAGAAACCCCTTACAATAAAATAGAGCAGAAGCATATTCCCTACATGTTTATACTTCTCAATGCAGCTATAATAGATATTTTTAAGTAATTATCTACATATATAAACCGAGCGCAATATATGGTCATAAAAGCAATTTTATTCTAACCTTCCTACTTGAAGGGTGCCTTGTGTATCAAATATATCAAGTTCAGTACCTCCAGAGTCACAAGCCGGGCTTTTGGGGCTACAAAATAATAAAATAATCAACGAGTTATGTCAGGTTAATTTATCGAGAGTTAATTAAGTATAGTTTCCTGCAGTCGTATGAAAGTTTAAAATGTGCTTCACTTGTGCTATATATACGGATTTGTCGTTCTTAATTGCTAATGAAATTCCGAGGGTGTGACTCAATTACTCCAAGAGAGAATATCCAAGTAGGTTACAGAAATGGTTCGCGAATTGTAAACTGTTAATGTGTTGACAAAATTTCCCTAAATTACGGTGCCGATACGAATCTATCATTCATAATCGCTTATGAGATTCCGAGATTGAACCTCAATGAATTACCAGAAAATATCCAGGAAGGTTACAGAAACAGACTCTCAAAAACTGCTCTTGAATTCGAAAACTGTAAACAACAATTATTTAAACTAACCATGTACTTACCAGCGCGCTCGTGAGGTCAAATTGCCAGAACCCCGTTTAATTGTACGATCACAGCTCGGAGGCTTCTTGCAAAATGTGATGACTACCAATTTCAGAGATTAATTCTTCAGTTTCCAGCATAAGAGAAAAAAATATCGTATCGCAAGCATGTTCATCACAACGCCTCCCGATGTTGAGCGAAGAGAAAGTGGCTCCATGTTTTGTGAGATAAACCATTTCCTGAAGTTCGAACGAATCGATTAGAAAGCATGAAACATAGCGCTGAAAACTACGACAACCAAACAATTAAATTCACTCATCCTTCTGCAGAAGCAACTTTATTTTACTCGTGAGTTTGCTTGCACCACACATTTGCGGTCAATAATTTGATTCTTAGATGTTTGACAGGTTCTCACATGACAATATCGTCAAAATCAAATCACTGCGTCAGACTTAATGTAAACATGAACATCGCTGACTCAATCTCATTTCATTTTAATTTTGGGAAAAACCATTTCTTCGTTCTTGGTGTAAAATAACACCTTCGGCAAAGCGCAAATTTTTCAAATGAATAGAGTAAATCCTGCGATAATCAATTGAAGAGCAAAAAACTTGCGCTCGCGGTTCGCCATCACTTAAAAACTTTCTAGGCAAAACAAAATACGTAAGATAACTTCTTTTCCCATAACACCACAACCGTGTTAAACTTTCAAAAGAAAGGACAAGAAATAACTTGAATAATTCGAACACTATGAAATATTATTCGAGCGATGAACCAGCGTGAGGGTTTTTAGGCGATGAATGCCAGAGTCAATGTTTAACCGAAACGTGATCAGTTGAATTTACAACTGAAGCTAGTATCAAACGACAGTTGGTAAAAAACAATGCTTGAATTTTTTCTGGGTCTTAGCGTAAAAGAAAACCCAGATAAGACACGACTTACCTCCTCTTCTTTCGCGGGTCCTTTGTAGTTTGCTTCTCTTTGTTGATGACCTCTTTTCGGTCTGTTTTCAGGAGCGACTTTGCATTTCCTTCTCGCGTTGCTCTTCGCTAAATACTCGCCTTTTTATATATGCCCTTTATTGTTCTCTTTCGCGTTCCTCTCGCCGTATTCTGCCTATTTTGGCGTCCTTTCTAACTTTCTTGCGCGATTTTTTGGATACACTTTACGCCGTTTACTTTTTGGCTTTTTTTGGTTGCTCTGTCTCTTTATATCCAGCCTATTTTCACTAAAAACCCCCTCTCCACGAACTTGAATTATAACAATTTCCTTCGGTTGACGAAGCTAAACCTTTGCCGGTATTGTTGCCTTACGAGTTGTTTAGAAACTGCTAAATACTGAGACCAGTTTAATTTCCCGCTCAAAACGCGGGTGGCGAATTATTTGCTCACGCGGCTTCACATCTGCCAGCCCACGTGAAGCCATCATGCAATGCCCAACCGTGTGCCCGCAGTACGCTACACTGCAACTCGACGCCCGAGTATGCGCACTTTATCGTCATTTGACGGTGTCTCCTGGCGCGCACTAATGGGGTATCCAAGTTACGTACGCAATCGCGCCTGCGCATTACCTTCTCTCTCGCCCTTCCATTACGTAATGGCTAAGATAGTGCCCGTGGTACAGTTGGCTGCGCATGCTAAAAGTAACACCTTGTACGGTCGGTCGTAAGTTCGTACAGTTATGAGTTAGACGTCCTTGTTTGAATAATCCTTTAATATAAAGTTAATATATCAAAAGAACTATGAAAATAGCTTCAATCTTAACTGAAACCCGAGTAACCCCATGACGTTATTTGGCGCATTGCTTTTTGTTTGTATGTTTGTTTGCTTTTTTTTTCCCACGGTTTTTACCTTCCGACTAGGGAATAATTGGTTTAGCTCGTTCCTACTATAAATTTCTACTAGGTTGCAGATACTTTTTTATGATCTTTCTTTTAGTCCTCTCTAAATGGAAGAGGAGGTCGGAGCACAAGCAACAAGCATCTATGTATCTTATTAGCCGTTTTAGTGTGTAGTATTGCTGAGTATTCATACGAGTTGTGCAGTATTTTGACGAGGCCGTAGGGCGAGTCAAAATACGAACAATGAGTAAAGAAAAAAGGTAATACTCAGCGATACTACACTCCAAAATGTCTTATAGAAAATTGTCATTATCCAGTTGGTTCTTTTTCTGCTAAGTATTTCTGCTCTACATTTGTTTGTTCATAAAGTCATACCAGAGAACACTCAAAAGAAAACATCCCACGCAACAAACAGTAAGCTGTTCGTAAACATTTTTTTTACGCACGTTTGAAACTACTTTAAGACTAATAAATACAATAGCCTCTATTTTGTGCGGAAGTACGCGCACATTTTTTTCCTTGGAGATCATCTGTTCCTCGAAGCTCACTGTTTTCTTCGAGTTCCGCTCTCGGAAAACTGAAATAGATAATGTCCGCGGACGAATATGCGTTCATATATTCCGCCAAATCTAGGCTATTGTTCATATAGTGATTGATACTCTTCTCCCGCGACTTGTTTAGTGTAATACCAAACCCGCTGTTATCAAGGAATCACTAATCTACGCAAGGCATATTCTTCATCTCAAATGTCTCCGTTGTCTTGATTCCACGGGATACAATTCCACCAAGCTCCCCTTTGGAGTCTGTCACAAGAACCGGGTTATCAGTGCTTCCGTTAAAGCGTTCAGGTTTCTTCCTTCCGCTGAAAGGATCGTCCCCAGTGGGCTCGACTCTTCGCTTAAATTTCCGAGAAAGGATAGCGAGAAGCACAGTCGCAGTTACAACGAAAACTATGAATCCGCCAACGGAAATCCCAATGATCATAATGGGTTTTAGAAACCAACTCTTCGTAGGCGCCTCTACTGGAATCTCCTCAGTACTTTCTGTCGTGATTGCACTTGGAGAGCTGTATTCGGCTGGTGGAAAATAACAGTTGAAATGATTACCTAGTTAGAAATAAACAATTTCGATTTTTAAACTCCCGAATTTTTTTTATAACAATCAGTTGCTGATTGTTATAAACGTAAATTTTGCTTGTGGTTCGGAATGCTGCACGCCTTTCAGCTAACAATTTGAGTTGTTTATCTTACTCAGGTATGCTGCGCGTTTGAATAGAGTGGCTTAAGATATTCTTCTTCTGACGAGTATTAAATTCCTTTGCAATAATTAGATATCATTTCATTAATTCACCCTTTGTTTAATCCAATCTTTCCGGAATTGTTGGCACCGTTTGAGCACTTCATCAACAGATGCCACGAAAATTTTACTCCTTAAGCGGTTGACACTAGCTCGTCGAACCACGAAGCATGTTAGCAGGATATTCAGTATAAAAAATTTCTTAACAGAAAATAGAAGAGAATTTCAAACATTCAACAAGAACGAGGAAAAAAATTCCTAGACATCAGCAATAGGAGATAGAAGACGATATACCTTCCGAGCGGGTAAATGATGTAGTTTTAGTTTCAGATGTAGTTTTAGTTTCAGCGAAAACATTTACAGCGATGTCCAGATGACTGGAGCACGAAACTTTTCCTCCATCACTTGCCACAACTATCAGAAGGTACTTTTTAGGCTGAAGTTTATCAACAACTTTTAGTTCTCCATTTTTTTCACCCACTTTGAAGGCCTCTCCACCGTTCCTTGAGTTTGATAAGGTGTATCTCACTTCTCCGTTGAGCCCACTGTCCTCGTCACGGGCGGATAACACAGTCAGAAGTCTACCTAATTGTGTATCTTGCGAAATGTTGAACCACGTTGCTTGAGGGAAGTGAAAGACCGGGCAGTTGTCGTTGACGTCGACAACATGGATGTACATGAAAGCAAAGCTTGACTTGCGTGGATTTCCATCGTCCGAAGCCACGATCTTCAGCTTAAACAGATTAGGAGAGGAACTTTCGTAGTCCAACACCGACGATGTAAGAATATCACCGGAGATGCTGTCGATGGTAAACGCCATTTTCGCGTTATTACTGTTGTCGATCGAAAAAAAACGTTTCCCATTCCGGCCTGTGTCGGCATCCCTAGCGTGCACTTGGAGAATTGTCGTTCCCGGGGGACTGTTCTCTAGGACTGAGGCATTGTAGATAGACGCGGCAAAAGCTGGAGCGTGTAGGTTCGGTTCAGCTGTCATGTTACACGCTGCCCCGTCGTATCCAGGATAACACTCGCAAGTGTTGGGTAAAATGCAATCGCCCTTCTTTGAACAGTCATCGAGACTGGAGCAGTCTGCCACACTACAAGCTGCACCATGCCACAAAGAGTCGCAAACACATGTGTCATAGCTGCTGCATACACCATGACCTATCCAGAGCCATTTAAATCAGTCAGTAATTATCTAGAAATGCTTCGGAAAGAATTTTAGCCCCAGTGACCGGGTGATTTACAAATTATCAAACAAACAAATTACATACGATGTAACTGTAAGTAATACTTGTTATCATGAAATAACCAAGCAGCAGGTCTCTGAGCAGTTATTAGCATAAGACTAAGGTTTTCGACAATGTCTCACCTGAACAGTAGTTAACACCTTCACATGACACATTTGAGCAGTCCACCCCACTGTAGCCCATGTCACATTTGCAAAAGTTTGCCTCGACACAGACACCGTGACCAGTACAATTGTCAATTGAACGACAGGAGGAAATGTTGCATTTCACACCACTAAATCCATCATAACATCTATAGGAAACAAGAAATCGTAAAAAAAAACGAGCTGTGAGTAGGAAAAAAAGAGGGGAAGACGATGAGTCAGTTAAAGATATGAGTAATAATGAAAACAAATTCAACTAGAAAGTTATACAAATAAAAATGCATTGAAAACAAAAGACAAATTTCGTTAAAAATTGATTTAATTAAAAAAAAATGGAAATGACAATGGCCTTTCTCAATCGTTCGGCAGGAAAGCCCATTCGTTCAAAGTTTTAAAATTTGAGATGCATCTTTCTCATTCAGTGCTTTGTTAAGGGAATCTTTAAAAATCCCTCTCTAATATTACAACTGTGCAACTGACCTAAAGACGTGATAAACATATCAAAATGTTCTTGGACATTTCCTTGATCGCTTTCTGAACAGGGAGACGCTGGTGTGCAGAGCGCCTTGTAAGAGGAGAAAGCCATTTTAGCGATGTCAAATTCCACCCACTATCTTATGTTTTTTAAGCAGAATTTTGTGTTTTATTGAGTCAAAAGCCCTTAGCATATCGACAAATGACAAACCAGTAAGTTTATCATCATAAATGGCTTTGACTGGCAGTTGTTTAGTTGCCCTACAGCTTGTGATTTATCATTTCTACGTTAAACCATATTCGTGTCCATACAGGAATCCCCAAGCGATCAATATATGCATTCGTTTGTGCATGCTTCACTCTCTCCATAATTTAATTAACAATGGAGAAAGATCAGAAAATTAAGATAACAGAGATGCTTTATACCTGCAAGAGACATTTCCATCATTTCCCCCTTGAATACAAACTCCGTTTCCGCTACAGTTTCCAAGAATCTCACAATCTACAACATCACTGCAGTTCGCCCCTTGGAATCCTGGGTAGCAGCGGCATGTGTTACTTGATACACATACCCCTTGACCGGAGCACTGGTTAACTCCTGCGCAATCAAAGAGAGCACAGCTGGCTCCTGTCCACCCTGGAGCACAGTCGCACTTATAAGGAGCCACGCAGCGTCCTCGTTCTAGAAAAAAAAAGTGCGCTATCCATCATGAATTGAATCCTGGGATAAAGGAAATACTTTGAAGAAATGGAAATAAAATATGAAAATGGAAGCGATCTTTGCTGTAATGAACACTTCTTAAGCAGTCGTAAAAATAAGGCCTGAAAAAAATTAAACAATGTACGGGATTTGAACCCATGACCCGTGTTTAAACCCTTTACAGGCCTGAATTTTTTGTATTTGGCCTTATTTTCACTACTGCTCAACTAGCGCTCAGTACAGCGAAGATCGCTTCCATATTCATTTCTTTATCCGCAGTTTACAGTTTTACATAATTTTAATATATTTACGGAAGTAAAATATTTTCTCAGATAAAGAAAATGAAAGCAAAGTGTACAAAAAATTACTTGAGCAATAGTCGAGTGATTCACAAGAGAACTGGGTACAGTCCTTTCCAGTCCAATCCTCCTGACACTTGCACACATCAAAGTCAACACAGATCCCTCTTTTGGAGCAATCAGACACATTTGAGCAGGTAGGAATAACACTGCAGTCATGTCCTGATAATTTAAGATAAATCCAGTTGAGTTTGCTCATCGAAAACCCTTAACCACCATAAAAGCCACGATTAACAAACCCGTAAATTGTATGGCGTTGGTACTGAAGGAGAGTGCGGTCTTCAATTACAATTTTTTAGCTTATTTAAACTTTAAACTGTCGTTCTCAGCCCCATTGCACGACTCAGCGCCGTGCTCCGTCTACTCTACTATTCGTTTAACAACTATGAAGTCTTGTTTAACTTCTTCATTATTTGTTTTCAAAACACTCCTTGAGTAGCCACAACTGAAGCGCAAGGTTAGTTATCATCTCAACGTTACAGCCTAGTGGCTTTGACTACATGATCAGTGAAACAGGGGACATATATCCACTTTTAAATGCATTTGCCAACTCCATTTAGCCTACACAATAAAGCAACTTACCAATGTATCCATCATGACAGTGACACTGGTCTGTCCTCTTACATAACCCGTTGCTTGGGCTTGTGCAGTTGTTGACGTTGTTGCATGTTGCTGTAACATTAGTGCGCGTTATTGTATGAGAGAACAGAGAGATCGTATGTTACTGCACTTTTATCTCGTCCCTTACAGCAAGTAAACAGAACACAATTTTATCACATTTTTTTCAAAGGGATCTCATAATTAAGAAAAATGTCGCTCATTACCCTTGAGAGGCTACGGAACACAAAGCTTATGCAACAGTCAGACCACACTGTGTTCGTGGTTAATTATTGTTGACATGAGACGAAACAATCCTTAGAGGGTTATGAATAAAGCTCTGAAAATTGCATTTCTAAATTACATCTCGGTCTGAATATCTCAATGAAGTTAAATATAGTGTTAATCAATTCGCTTGTGGAATTTTTTTCGCCTTCTTAGGCCGTTTGAAGCGTCTTTTCACGAAAGTGCTTGTGGGGAGACAAGGCTGGCAACTTGGTGGCAGCCAGCCGCGACCGCGTTCACTTGAAACTGTTATAGTCAAAGCTTCAAAATTTTTCGAGAAAATCGATACTGAATTGATTAATTTAGCTTTCTAAATATGATTGGTGCGTGACTCAGCGACCAAAGGAATTCGAAGCATGCAGACCGTTTCAAATTTACCAATCAGCGCTTGGCTTGGTTTTGAACCGCAGTGGGCTGCCACGGGAAGTTGCTGCACTTGACGGTAAATTGAATACGGCCTGTATGCTTGCCACCAAGTTGTAAGCCACATAGATTTTGTTCGTCTCATGTCAACAATTTAACCACGAACGCATAGTGTGGTCTGCCTGTGCTTATACCCAGAAAAAAAATTACAGACATGAGTATCTTGGTAACTTCGTTTTTTTCTCATCGTTTCTAAGAACCAATTACATTTCCATGCGTAAGGTTAAGAGATCATAAGGGGAATCTTGTTAAGATTTATTGTGACTGAATATATATGAAAGCTCCTCGATATGCACTTATTTCAGAACCCACCTTTGTGATCACAACTGACTCCTTCCCAGCCATCAACACATTCACAAAATCCTTTCACGCACCGCCCGTGTTCCATGCTGCAGTTTGTGCAGTTACCTGAATTGAAGAATACTTTTCAGGAATGGACTTGGTAAGTAGTATATATTTTTTTCTTGTGACAAACTCCGTTTACGTTCTCAAGCCTTCTGATTGGCTGTACCTACCTAAGTGACAACTGTCTCCAGACCAACCAGTCATACATTGACACGTGGAGTTAATGCATGTACCCTTCCCAGAACATTGGTTTGGACAACCTTTCAAAAAAGGGAGAAAAGGATCACTTTAAGTACCACAAGTTATGTCCATTGATTTAGATTCAATTTTAAATGCTTATTTGAGTACTTCCAATAATTTAGGATTATTCGAAACTTCGCCAGCTCATTCATAAAGCCGTGTCACAAAAATAAAACCTTCCAGCGACTAAAGTCTAAAAGCTTCGTTAGCGTTGTTTGCGGTAGATAGGGTTCATCAGCTAAAAACCGAAGGCTAAGGCTGAAAACCTTTAGCGAGACCCTGGTTATTCTGGATATCACAAAAACCGAATCTAACAATTGTTCTATTATTTATTCAATGAAAAAAAAAGTGTTCACGCAAGTAAGTAGAACGGCGAGCAACACAAAGCGCGCAAACGTGACATGATTATCCCTAGAAATCATACACCGCGGACATACATGACATGATTACCCGTGACCTTGAGTGTCCTTTACATGATTATTGTATAATCGGCAGTTACATGACGTCCCAGGCGCTGACTTAAAAAAAATTCATCTTACGCTATGGGCCAACCAGAAAAGAGATAGTGAGTTGAATGTATAATAATGAAAATTGTTGGACTGGCTTATTAAGAACCATTTAATAAGTTTGTCTCAACTTTTAGCATGCTGATGAATACTTTTATGTCCGAACTTTTTCAACGTACTTTGTTTCAGGCTCTCTTGTCCAGCAAGTGTCATATCATTTGTTACGGCTACGTCATAAATGCAGCTCTGCAACATCGCGCCAGTAAGTCCAAGTGACGAACAGGCTTCCGTAGCTTCCTAGAATAAACCATACAAACTAACTGGTTTACCTACCCTCTCTTTTCTTTATATAGCAAAGGGATTTATTCTAAGGACAAACCTACCTTCCTGTTCAACTTTAAAAATGAATAATGATAATGTGTTAAGCTTTTTATTTCACATTTAGTTTCTTGAAAGCTTCTATTTCAATGTTCACGGTGACAAATTAAATATATAAAAATTGGGCCTTGCCACGTGACTTATTCCAGTGCTGTGGCTATGCGAGAATAGTTATCTAAACCGGTTATTTTTGGCATGCAAGAAAACGAAAAGAAAAAACAAACAAACAAACAAAAAACAAGAAACATTTTGAGAATAAGACAAATATCAAAGAGCTTTTACCGCGACAATGATATCACCGATGCCATCTAAAGAGTACAATGGAACATGGTTTGGATCGTTGTAAGAAGAATCCATGATGTCATCGCTGTGAAAGTTTGAAGAGTTCCATGACCATGATCCTCGAAGGCCGGAGTTGTTGTGAACAGCCGTTATGCGCCCTTAAAAGAAAAAGAAATTTAAAATAAAATTTAGTGTAAAAACTGTTTAGGTAAACAGAAATTTAGAGTACAGTAGATGTGAGAGACAGCAAATATGTCTATATTTAAAAGATCTTTTTATCCAAATAATAGCTAGCCTTAGTCTCAGGAAAGCTGATTCTGGAACAGTGAAGATTTCAATCTATTCGCACAGTAATTGAAAATTTGAAAAACGGAAATTGGAAAATCTCGTGGATCAATAAGGTCCAAAGAGTAGGAGTCTGATCGACACGCTGTAGGTGAACATCATGATCCATACTTACAAGAATCAGCAAACTGAATAGGATCATTATATTGTTCTCCATTTGGACCCCTCAAGTCATTGGATGGATCATCATCCATCACTCCACATAGGCCTTCAGTTTGGCTTTTAAATCTTGCTGAGGGTATGAACATGACGTTGAGATAATGACGGCCCATCTTTGGACTGTAACGTACCTCAGCTGTTATTGTAAGTCCTTGAAGTGAAACGAACAGAGAATAAATGAGAGTCGATGAACGTCCGGACTGTTAGCTCAGTCGTGTCATCTATTAGCTCGGCTGCATCGACTCTAATACCGGAAACCGCAGTGACACCTGGTTTCATGACTATAAGTAGCATACTCGAGGAGTGAGAAAAATATAGAACTTCACAAAATAATGAGGAAGCTGGAAGACAAGAAAAAAATTCATGAACGAATGGAGTGGCTTTGAAACAACATTGGCATAGTCTTTGTACCCTGTATTATAAAGATATTTTTGGTGAATGGAATACTTATAAATCTTTGAAAATGTCACGAGAAATAGTGATGAGTATAATAGCTACGTTCTGAATCAATTATTTTTCACATAAAATAACGATACTTCAAATTAAGTCGACCATAAACATTTATAAAAGAAGATCATGATGATTCCCTTTTGAGAAAATGAAAAGCTCTCACTTGCAATTAATTCGCATTTACCTACCCTATGCCTCATAATGGATAACTTATGGTTTATCCATAAAAGAATATTTGCCTGAGGCGTAGGATGAGCAGAAAGAGGCATTAGCCAGCGTCACCGAAGGGGAGTGGGATTGGGAAATCTGTAGACGTTGTCGAGTCAGTGGATCTGCGAGAAGCGAGAGATTTTCAATGAAACGGCATATAACAGGTCTTGAGAATTTCTCCGAGGACTTTTACGGCCAATAGAAAAGCTTCCGCGGGAGTGCGAAGTTTTCTGATTAACTTATTAGATATGTGGCGGCTTTTACCCGAATGATAATAGTCATATAATTTGCAGTAATGAGTTTCACTAAACCTGACTCATATTGCACAGAGAAAAGTACGACTTGTGCTTCCTCTGGTTTGGATGATGTGGAAGTTTTTTGGGTATCCAACACAACCGTTCCATTATTAAGCTTCACTTTATTCCCAATCAGAGATGTGACGTTCATCAGACCTCCGTCGATTCTATGAATAACAAGAAAAAAAATTTAAAAAAATATATATATCACCATCTCCATATCATGAATAACGCAAGAAACTTAAATGATGTTAGAAAGTGTTCCCTCGTATATATTTATAGAAATTCCTTAAAAAATAAGGGCAAGGTGTTCAGGTACTTTACGCTTTTTAGCTCTATCTTAATTTCACTATGACCACCAAAGGTCAAATTATTTATTGGGTGTTTGTCTATTTGAATATTTTATCGACAAGTAAAACTTATGTTTAACGTCAAGTCTTCGACTCGTGGTGCAAATTTAAAAGGATGAAGGCGAATTCCAGAATACTTTAATGCCTTTTGCTGGCATAAAGTATAAGGAGTCATAGTAACATGTTTTCAGACCAAATTTTGGAAGGAGGACTTCTTTATTTTCAATATCTTTGCTAATTCAAGGTAGGAAGCTTTGAAATCGCTTTCCTCTTTTTTTTTTGTTCGATATTGACGGCGAGTCGCTGTAAAATTTAAGTTTTAAATACAATCCCCTTTTCTTCCAGTTTATTGGGGCAAGAGGCCGTGTCAGCTACTTTTGTTCATTTTTACCGCCGGTTTCGTGAGACGTATCTGAAAATTTTCACGGTCAGGTTATACAAGTGGCGAGAATCTGAATTATGTGACTTATACAGCGCTGCCTTAGACTTTTCATCGACGTAGCTAGTTTTATCTTTGATGCCCTCAGGAGACAATCCCCAGTGGCATGGAACTCCTGAGATGCTTTCATGACAAAGGAAAAAAATGGGAAAACTTTCAGTGCCACGCGCTTTCCATTCCTGTCAGTTACAGTTGGGATAAATGGAAATTTGACACATATGAGTGACAGACTGAAAGAACTCAGTGCCCAAACCTACACTAACTCAAAAGGTCATCGACAGTTTTTTGTGCAGACTGCTTTACAGTTTATAGTAGTACTTATTCTTCCCCCATTTCTACCTGTTTATTGACAGAAAATTGAAATTAAGAAATGAAGGGCTTTTCAATGACAGATTTTACTAAAAACTTTTCTTACCGTAGTTTCGGAAATTGGTCGGGATTACTCGTGTTAAGAGCCATGATTGACAGTACACTCTGTCCCGCCTTAATTGCCACGCCCCCTGTAAGCGAGGCTCGTTGATAAGCAAAATAGCGGAATTGAATTCCAAAGTCATTGAAGATACTTTTACATCCCCAGAATTCGCCAATTCCAAAGTAATCAAAATCAATGCCTGCCGGAAAAATTTAAAAGTATATGATAACTGGAAACTAGCTGAAAATAATAAGGCTAAAGAAAGCATTGGCAGAGGTACTTGAGGACATTATGGCTTTCAGAATACATAAGGACTTTCCGTGTATAAAGGCAGTCACACAAATTAGTGTTTTAAAGCATCGATCTTTTTATGAAATAGCTTACCATCTAACGTCCCAAGATGAGGATCACCCCAGTTCCATCGCGGTAGCCTTATTTCGCAGCACGCTCCAATCCACCAAAAGGAGCAAATACACTGAGACCCACAGTTTGTTGTAGCTATTGCATAGCCATTACCAGAACAGCTTGCTAAAATAACCGACATAACGCAGACATATGAATACATACTTTCAGACAATTTGTTATACTCGTTTTCTGGTGCTAAAGAACCCAATTACAATCCGTCACGAACTGGCTTATAGCTATTTGATTATTATAAATGCTAAAAATCAGAGAAATAATGTTTTAATTCTTGTTGCGAGTTCAAGATTATGCAAAAATCTCTGTGTTTCCGTCATTTTGTTCTGTAAGAGTGTCTTCTGCTGTAAGACTTATTGTTATACTAGTTTTATAAGGTTGCAAAAGAAACAATCGTCATACGGTCACTCGTGTTCTTCCAGCATTTTGCGTGGCTTATCACATCAGGGTATTAAGTGAAATCAATGATGGACCACAGTTCTTTTCCTAACCTGAGCATGGCTGCACGTCTGGTTGAGTACATCCGGGTCCTTTCCTTCCCACAACGCAATTTGGAGGTTCACCACAGGGTGGATGTTCTGGACACTTGTATCGATTGTTTACAATAACGGGTTCTTTTCCTTCCGGGCATTTCCTTAAGATTACACAGATGATATAGGAATCAAGGTATTATTAAGGTCACTAATAAAGAAAAGTCTCAAATCCGAAATCAAACCTGAATGTACCTAAACCCACAACACGAAGACCAGTTTCTGTAAAACTTCATATAATCGCCAATGTTCACCTCATCATTAACGCTTGGTCGACGTATCAGAAACTCACTCAAAGTAACTTCAAATTTCATTGCTTGAAGGGAGGTGAATTGACTTGTACACATTAAGATAACATTTGCGCTACCCCATTTACGCTAGAAAAAGAGTTGGACATCTCCTGCAGAACTTTGGTTTTCAAGGTCGCCATCGAATGCGAACAATACTTTGACCCATTTCGTTCTCTTCTTTATCTTACATATCAGTTAAAATTGACATTTTCCGACCACAAATTTCGCATAAACGACTAAATATATTCTCTCACACATTGTTCGCCAGTATTGATGTGCCATATAGTAAGAAATTCTTGGATAAGCTTGAGCGCTATATCATGAATTATAAAAACTGAGGTCTGAGTAATCTGCCGAAGCTAAAGGCTGAGGCAGATAACACAGGCACGAGGCACGAAGTTTGATTATTCATAATTTTATGCGAAAACCGAATTCAAATCAATGATCGTTTTATGATCGTTTTATGACACATTTTTTAAAAATCATCTGCAAAAGAGGACACTTCTCCCTGAGTTTGCAAACGTTTGAGAACACCACATGGACAGAGACTTTGAAACTAAGCACACTTTGATCTTGACCTGAAAAACGCAATATTCGCTCCAGATATTGGGCTATTATGAAATATCGCACGATTTTCTATATTGACGGACTACTCTCCAATAATCAAATTTTTCATTGCATTTACAGTACTTGATAGAAGTGTTTGCGATTGCATTAGAATCCTCAAGTGATTTCACGACACTTACGGTTTACAGCGACAACTTCCATCAGAATCAACCAGAGCTTCTGCTCCACCATCACATCTGCAAGGAGGAGGGGTGGTCGGAGGCGGTTTTGTGGGGCGAGTAGTTGTTTTTTTTCGGGGCGTGGTAGGTTCGGTTGTCAACTCTGTTGTTCTTTCGGTCGTGATAGGGTTGGTTGTCAACTCTGTTGTTTTTTCGGTCGTGGTAGGGTTGGTTGTCAACTCTGTTGTTTTTTCGGTCGTGGCAGGATTGGTTGATAACTCTGTTGTTTTTTCGGTCGTGGTAGGGCTGGTGGTAAACCATGTTGTTTTTTCGGTTGTAGTAGGATTGGTTGTCGTCGTCGTTCGGGGCGTGGTAGGTTCGGTTGTCAACTCTGTTGTTCTTTCGGTCGTGGTAGGGTTGGTTGTCAACTCTGTTGTTTTTTCGGTCGTGGTAGGGTTGGTTGTCAACTCTGTTGTTTTTTCGGTCGTGGTAGGGTTGGTTGTCAACTCTGTTGTTTTTTCGGTCGTGGCAGGATTGGTTGATAACTCTGTTGTTTTTTCGGTCGTGGTAGGGCTGGTGGTAAACCATGTTGTTTTTTCGGTTGTAGTAGGATTGGTTGTCGTCGTCGTTGTTTTTTGAGGACATTCACAGAGAGACTGGGAAAAAAAATTAGATCGTAAAAACTTAACTCGGTGCAAATCGCTTCTTTGTAGGTCCCTTAGCCTGTTGTGTAAACGCACAGACGAAGTAAACACAAGTAGTGTGAAATTCAGTAGATGCACAATTATTTGCAAATCACTAATGCTTATTAAGTACGAGTAATTTGTTATCTCTATTTGTTAAACCTTATCAGATAACGAACCTTTTTGGCTCAGTCCGACCACTATGTCGTACAGCACTGCCTATCGATGAGTATTTTTGTAAAAACTAGTTGGGCTTAATACACAGCAAATTGCAAAGCAGAATTACCTTAGGACATGGCAAATGAAAGCAGTTCCTGAAAACAGAGCACAAGAAGAAGTTAAGGTTCTAAATACGTATCGGTTGTTAAATGCCGAGTGCACATGCCATAGTAACACTTATGCATACATTCACTCCAAAATTTACCCTGCACTGGATTCAAAATGGTCGAAATGGTTCCGGTGTCTTGAGATCTGTAAACTCCTTTTTATAGTCAACTTCTGTTTATTTTATATTTTTAATTGAAATAACTGCACTGTACTGTTAGGTGGCACTAGCTATGATAGTTCATTTTCCTACAAAGTCTTGGCGGTGGGCTATCTGACAAAAATCTGGTACAAGATTGACACAAACCTTAGGGGCTTCATTTCCCTCGAGTTCAAGTTTCCAATTAAATTGAACTCTAAGCCTTTCCTAGATCCTCCAGGTAAGTGAAACGCCAATCCAATGACCATCTCCGTGAATCCCAGGGGAGTTATTTTAAGTTCATGTGGTCGTCGTTTAGTTTTACAAAAGTCACTGCACCAATCAAAATCTGCCCTGATCCCGTAAGTAACCCCAACACTGAGTTGAATAATTGAAATACCCAGCCCAGTTATACGTTGATCTTCATAGTCATAGTCTTCAAGGTAATAAACTGTGGAGAAAGGGACTTGAATGAGTGCAGTTTGAGAATATTGCTAAAGAGAAAACTAGTGTACTGCGATTTTCCGCATTCTATTTCATGTTTACAAACTTCGTTCGTAGTTCTACGGACTGAGCAATACTCCGGTCGTTAGAAATGAACTCTCACCAATTACAGTGTACTGACAACTTTTTACAAAATGGTAATGATCGTCGTTAACATCACCTGAATAAACATCACCATCATCCGTGTCGTCGTCGCTCGCTAATTGGAAGACGAATAACGGAAAAAAATGAGTATTCCTGATTAAATCCACCATAAAAGTACAAAAATCTCAAGAGTAATGATAGCAGATTACAAAGCCTGTGAGTGGCACAGCCAAACGGTTTATCCTGCATAGTGACTTAGTTTGGTCAGTTAAGTTGATTACTTTGAGGATAGCATTCCAAGGGTGATCAACGGAGTTTTCAATTACACTTCCGCGAAACATATTCGTTGATGAAAACAATTAGGCCACCGTATTAGATGTTCGGGACGTGAGGCACACGTAGAAGGTCGCTCACACTTTTTAAATACTCTTATCAAGGATATCAATTAATCTCTTGTTAGAATTTTCTCCTTGTGATGTATCCCTAATTGACTCGATCGTAAGTAGACTTTCGTTAAATAATTTTTACCGTGTTGAGTTATCTGAGACCCCTGGTTCATCAAAGAAGCCACACTAGACAGAAGTGGCCTTCCTTTGATGTTTGGAAGGTTCGTGGGAATCCAAGGTAGTTTATTTTAGGTTAGCTAAGAATCAGTCTATATGCAGTGTGGAAATTGTTTAAGCGGTTTTCTTAAGATGAGTTTTAGTCCCATATGTCCGTGTAAAGTGACATCACGCTTATCATCACCCCTAGATTAAAAAAAAAGGTTTCTTTCATTTCCTACAAATCTGCCATGGCCAAACCATGACTAATTCTACCGATGTAGATGCAATGCCCCATGTTTTTCCTCGAACTTCTCGAGTTTACTGAGATACTCGTTCGAACCTACTACAACAGGACTGTAAACTCTTAACTATATGTTAATTTACACGAGAGTCTAAAAAATTTAATGCACAAAAAAGTTCCAAATATTTTAAGTGAATCTTGGTAGAAAACTACAACCTGTTCGAACACTCCATTTACCGACTCGTGTTGATCCGTGACTCGTGCCGAACCAGTTTTGCCAATCATTCTCTACTTTGTTATTTTCAAAGAATTATTGATTAGCTTCGACGAATTTTTACAAGAATAGGGTTTTTGATAGGAACTGTAACAAGTAAGGAGCAAGCCAATTTTCGCGCGCCCAGACCAAAAACAGCAGCAACAACAACAACGATTTCCGAAAGGTAACGCAAGAAAATTCGCGGTTGATTATACAGCTTTCGTTACGCTGACGTCACAAAAGGCAGAAAAAAACCTAACATTCGGTTTCTCTGCGTGGATCCTCTGGTATGTACGCAGCAGCTAAAAGCATGTGCCTACACTCTCGTATAAAAGATCTTTTGAACCATCTGGGAACGCGTTTTCTTTTTTTTTGTTTTTTGTTTTTTGTTTTTTTTTTGCGCGGCCTCATAAACTCTCTGGAGATTCTTAAATTAGACAGCCAGAAATCACACACAAACTTGACACAAATGACATACTCACGGAACGAATTAAAGAGATTCGAGAGACTCGGAATAGCCCTTTTAACAAAATCCAGGATATCCAGAGAACCTCCTTTCTCGCGCCGTGTCCCACCAGCAGGAATTCCAAGAATAAGCTTTGGAGTTATAGAAAGCTCTGCTTCCAGCTGTTTAGCTTTTGATTCAACATCCTCAACGGAAAAATAACTGGAGCTCGTAAACTAGAACAACAACATCAAAACAAATCTATATGGCTTTACTGTGGTAAAAACAGTAGTTACTTGACCGACTGACTGACCGACTGACTGACCGACTGACCGACCGACCGACTGACTGACTTATTGATGATGCTAATCACTGACTCTCTAACTGACCTACTGCTGAACTGACGACCCACTGACCGACGGACCAATTGCTAAACGGAAGGACGAACGACCGGACTTTCCGCTTGCCTGCTCGACCGGCTCAACGACTTGATGAATTATTTAGCTCTCATTACTCACTTGGCTCCTTCCTTTCTGACATCCCTCGAGAGCTCTGCAATTTCCCTCGATGATAAATTTGATGGACCTTGCCATCCTCATGGGGAGTTCAACTTCATACTGAAAAATAACGTCATGCAATAAAGATATAAAAATCAAGAACATAGAGTTAAGACCTCATCGTTTATACTGGTGAGAAAATTTAGATACAGTTTAGACCAGAAACATGTAACCTAGAAGCTTCTAAACCTACCTATATTGCTTAAAAACAAGCTGGGAATTGTTAGCTGGCCAATCAGAAGCAAGGGTGTGATTTTTTTTCTCAAATATGTAACTAGACTTTCAACTCACCTTTACTGTTTCAGAAATTTTGATTCAAAATACGGAGTATCGCACCATTACGAAAAGCACTACCATTTTGACTACCTTATGAGAAAGATTTATTTTCCACCGCACAAAAGGACGAGATTGGCACATTCGAGGACCGCGTTGGCAAATAGAAACGTCCACAAATTTTTAAAAAGCAGTTAAAGAAAATGGAAAACTTCCTTTGAAGACTACCCTTTTCAAAATGCTTGGACGAGCCGTAAGGGGACACATTACGGACCAAATTCAACAGGAAAATGACGTACAACGGCAGAGTAATGGTCGACTTGAATCATCGTATGACTTGACTTATCAGAAAACTAAGACTGTCAGGACTCTGACGAGACAAGCACACTATTTGCTACTCAACATTCTATTAATGTATCTGACTGACAAAAATTACCGTGACCATGCGTTTTCCAGGAGCAACCACGACAACAAACTCAGTAATCGAAGCACTCACCGACTTACTTAATCACTAAGTTGAAAGGCAACGTAACGCCGATGTCTTTTTAAAGGGCATGTCGGAATCCACCTCGCGGTTCTCACAATCCATAAAACATTCACATCGCCTGTAAATATATTACCAACGAAGGAGACAGGGACAACCCAAACGAAAAAAAAGGTTCTAACCCCATTCTGTTGAAGAGGTAGACAAAAAAAATGGACATCTAGATATAGATGAATGATCAAATCAATACAAAAACGTACCTCAGCTGTTAAGTCAAGTTGTCCGTAAACTTCTAAAAAGATGGCAGATGGTATGCATAGCCCGAAAATGATGGGGATGCAAATTCCTGCTATCCTAATTGGACGTAGTATCGGAAATTTCTCTTTAGTGAGATGTAGCCTATGCAAACGAATCAGACAGAAGAATGTAGTATATTTACTTTATATTATCTAAATTAACTGCAACAAAACTAACATCAACTCAAAGATCTACGAACAGAAAGTTCTTAGGGCACCAAGTTTCACCAGGGAATGCACCAGTTTCATGATAACAATACAGCTAACATTTAAGATAATGGCAATGGCAATGATGATCATAGAAACAACTTGTCAGATATCTTTTGTTTTTTTTTTTATATTTTCTTAGGTCGTGGTATTTTTAGATCAACTGTTTTACTTTGGTTATGTTGTTTGAGTCTTTCTTTTAATCGATGGACCTTTTTAGTCGGTATCAGACCAGGTTTATTTGAAAAAATTTGGGTAGTGCCAGCTATGTTTTTCAAAGTCTCTTCCAAGTAGAACGTGGACTCCACACATCCTCAAATAAGAAGAGCAGATGTCCACTCACTTTCTAAAAATCGCGATAGTCATTAATCTAATCGTGCATCACCATATATATTAGCCTACCAGTAGTCTCTCGTTTCTGGTAAAGTCTATTGCGCGAGTTAAAAAACAAACATTGTATTATTAAGAAAAAAAATATGTGAGCACTCTGCAAGACGCGCAAACATCAAATCCTTTCTATTTTGCTTTATTTATTTATTTTTTGTAGCCTATCATCAAAAGACGCAAAAGTGTTTTCTTCTCAACGCTTCGAGCAGAGTACAACACAATGGAAATAGACCTCTTTTCCATTTTTAATTTTTTGACTTTTCAGCGCGGGGAAATCTTACAATGACTATTACCAAGAGTAACCAGTTTTCAGCCGAAAACAATTTTTTTTTAAGCGGCTGATCTTAGTCATTCCGGGCTTTGCGAAGCTTAACAAACGAGAAAAACACGATAAGGTAATAATTGACACTGCAATTCCCAATTGAAATATTCCATCCTCTACTAAAGATAACTGAATGATGATAGTATAAAGAAGTATGACATCCTACCGCGCTTTGACTATAAAGTCAACACCAACATCATATGTGACAGTACCATCCATCTTTACCCCTACAGACGCATCTTCTGGGATCATTTTACCGTTCTGGTTTCGTTTAGAAGACACGACTATGGACACAGTAAGGATTGAAGATATTGAGAGTTTATGGTTTATAGTCATGTAGCCCGATGCATACGGCACTTTTGAGAAAGCAAGTGCTATTTTAATCGGCTTCGCGACGAAAGCTTTCGAAAACGGAAGCTCTCTATTATAATAATTGTCTCTCTTGCGTCTTCTGCGTTTCTTATGGAGTTGATCAAGCTTTACCATGGTAACAGCTGTACCATTCTCAACAGACAAAACAGGAAGGACTTCTATCATCCAGAAATCCCCGTTCATGTATGATCCCACAACCTAAAAACAGATTTTTTTAATTGTAACAAAATAACTACTGTGTAAACGAGAAAAAAGATAATTAACACTTTTTTTATAGTCTGTGTCATAAACAGGCAAAGCGAGTTAAGTGTTAATAAAGAATTCACGATGCAGTTTCGGACATGACTTTTATGCGTGTCATGTTTTTGCTGTCGTTGTTGTTGTTGGTTGTCTGCCTCAGCTCTACTACGTTTAGGATGAATTCCCCCGGTGTTTTTCTCACCTTTGCGAGGACGGGATAACTGGTTCTTCCGATGATAGAATCCTTAGTTGACACGTGTTGTGGATCGGCGTCTGATTCGGTTATCATCAATCCATAACTGTTGTCACCACCAGCACAAAATACGCCATCATCAGATGCAGAATCGGCGATTCGGGGTGTAAATCTTCATATCGAAACAAGAAGCAATGATCGTCATGCTAAGTGAACTCCTGTTTGTTTGCTTGTTTTTGTTTGGTTGTTTGTCTGTTTGTTTACGATTCATGAAGTTCTTTAAAAAGCTTGTGCTGCAAGTAGGGCAAACCCCTCCTCCTGTGCCTATGATTTCGATGCCGCCAACAACTAGAAGCACTCGCACGAACGCGATAAATTATTCCCTCTTGATTTTAAAGCTTAATTCAGCGTTTATTATTACCGCCCAACACATTAATAAAAACGGTTTTATTAAGAAAGTCGTAAGGTGTGAGTTTTTTCAACGACATCTAGGATTTTTCGTTTACCTTCGTGTCCAGGTAGAATTCTCCGTACACCTCTCGAGTTCTGTCTCCATGAAAACCATATTTGAAGTCTTGTTGAGTCTGGTCACCTTTTCAATAAAGCCGTGACTCCGTTCAGAAACTACCACATCTCCAGGTCGAACACTGAACGAGTTTTTTTTCTCTATAACTAGAAACTGAGAATATGCTAGACCTTCCTCCACTTTATAAATGTGTCCCAAGCACTTGAAAATAGATGTCCCTGAAAGCAAAATTAAAAAAAGGCCAAGTTATTGAGTGCTCAAATTCGGCTGCCCAACGGTATACAATCACGTTTGAAGATTTTGTATTTGTTTTGATCATGGAGTTGTGAGACAAAGTATTACACGCCACTGAATTTAACTTAACTTCATTTAAACCTGCTCTTCGAAAGATTTTTTATGTTCTCTTTTCTCACGCAATCCTTATGGCATTTACCTCCGAACAACGCATGCGGGAGGGATTTGCGCCCGAAAATATTGTAATCGCTACAGGAATCATTAAGTTAAAATCAGTTTTTGTGCTATACTATCTCGCTGTTCTAAAACAGCTATTCACTGAGGTCGAGTTGGTTAACGGCGTACATTTGCGGCTCGGCTCGGCAGATAAAACCAATTACTAGTCTCTGCCACTTCGGTAAATAGTTGCTAAATAACACTGTACAAAATATCAAAAACTATTTTTAAGGGGGGTTTACCCTCTGGTAAGATGTGAACATTAGAGTTGTTCAGCTTTAAGGTTCCATTCTTAATGTCAACTAGATTATCCATATCTGGCTGCTCATCCGAAGTAGATTCGTCGACCACCTGAGTTGGAGAAACTTTCTCCGTGAAATCTGCGTACTGGACAACATCCTCAATCCTTGCAGGTTCTCCAATCATTATTGAAAAAGGGCCTTTAATGTCAAATATCAAAAATCAAGGTAAGTCTTTTATAGCTATCATCGTGTATTTTTCTTGTGCCCACATACATTGACCTTCCCCCTAAGAAGGCCGTAAACCCTATGTTACGGTGTCGTGCAAGTCCATAACCCCTACCCCAAACCTCCCACGGTTTTCAAAATGGCGGACTATCGCGTCTCTTGGAACGCGTCTCGATTCTTGTAATCTAGCTCAGCTCTGGTACTAGCCGTAGTTGAACAAATCTGATTGGGTTTCTCGGATTAATTATAGATTTTGATTGGTTGTTCGATGTCAGGGTCTCACCACTTCTTCATTTCGATTATTGTCACGATTTCAACGTAAAAGCCACGTCCTTTAATAAATCGCTCTCACACGTGCGTGTTAATCTGGACATTTCCAACATATTCTTTGAAAGGAAAAAAAAAAGGGAAAAAGAAGAGAAAAGAAAAAAAAGGGCAAAAAAACAAACTGATGCCGAGTATTCGAACCTTAAACCTTCGGAATGGAGAGGAGCAGTTATAACCAACCCACAAGCGCTGTTCATTAACTTCTCTGCATTTTACGACACATTGCTTTATTACTCTAATGCTCCATTAATAGATAGATTAATAATGGTAATTGAAATGAGTGGAGTGCAATTTGGGCTGAAATCATACGCGTGATTTCAAAATTGAACGAGCGCGCAGTGCGAGTTCGATTTGAAATCACAAGTATGATTTCAGACCAAAATTGCACTCCACTCATTTCAATTACGACATGAGGTTCAATTACCACTTTATTACATCCATTTTGAAATCGCCCAAATACAGGATTTGGTCAGTTCAAATATTTTATTGATGCAGTACTGAGCTGGTTTGAAATTAAAATCATCCATTTTTTGGGGGAAATAATAACAGTTTTGGAAACAAAAGCAGCAAAATTCGCCACATGATACTCTTTGTCTCACATTTTCCTACCATTTGATCGGTTACTTTAAACAAGCCTTGAAATCTGATTGATTGTTTTGTTTTTAGTGTAGCCTCCTCACTGTCTAGGAAAAAGATGGGATTTAAAGCAAAAAATGATGCGATTTGTGAATAAATCGCACCGATTAGAGCCAATTAGATTAAAGGGACCACCAGTGATTTCAAAGTGGGTGTAATAAATAGACTAAACAACAGTAAGCACATGCGGTCATAGACTGCCTTTGATTCAATATCGGGATTCTGCGGTCACAAAAAAAAAAAATTGAACGTCAACTTTTGAAATATATGCGACAAAGCATACTTCATTGAAGGCTATTTAAGGTTAGGACGTCTCAGCCCGAGATCCACATTAAGTAGAAAAGAATCCCGTCCTTTTATTTCTGATATGCCTTAGCAAGGTATAGAACAGCTCATAGTGTGTATACTTTTAGTATAATAATTCAAACCTTACCGGCGGCTATGGTTTGATTGATAGTGTGCATCAAACCACCTGCTTGTGCACTAGCTAGAATGTCACCAGGTTGAATACCTAAACTTCTGGGGGCGACAAGCAGCGTCATTGATTCTTCACGGCCATTTCGAACGGGACACCGGTAAACGATGGTGCTATTTGGATCAACTATCTTAACATTGGTACGTAATAGAGTATTATCTACTCGCTTTGGATCTGTGTAATCTACATGTATCAGGCCATGAGGACAACGGGTTTCGTTCCAAGTTCTGCATTTTCCTCTCTCCTATGAAGAGGGAGACAGACCTTTTATCAGATACAGGAAGGTGTTCATAGATGCTTCCCTTAATATCTTTAAAAAAAAAAAGAATCCTTACCACGTTGTTGTAGCACTTTTCAAGATCTTTACACTTTTGACAGGACTCTGAATTAGTTGTTTTATGGCTAGCGTTACACTGTCTATTGGCACAGTCCACTCTCTATAAAATACAAGTAAATGCCTTTAATAAAACACAATTAATCGCAATTGATACGATAAATGAACAATACTTCCAAACTGACAATGCATTGAAATCTAAGAAAAATAGTCTTGTTATTTTCAGCCTTTATTATTTACACCTGTACATAACTAAGATACGATTTGTTTATATTGTTTCCATCAGCACTCTAACCGTTTCATGCTTCACTCTTTGGTGGGCATAAACATTAATAATAAAGCTCGTACAAGAAGTCTTACCTGTATTTGGCTGGAACAATAATTGACACTTCCAGTAGTGTAACAAGTGTAGAAGAACCAATCTGGACATTGCTGGAAAGACCTGGGCCCGAGAGAATTTCCCGGCATGCACAGCTTTGAACTGTCGCACCAGCCGCAAAAAGGGTCCTGGGAGCAGGTAGAACATCTTTGAAACTTCGAACAATAGGAGTAGGTACATCCTCGACCCTATAGAATGACAAGAATCCGTAAGCACTTCACAAGGCATAGAATCGTTCTCCTTAGGGTTTTGTATCAAAACACAGTCAAGTTTACTTAACCGGACAACAGCTTGACTTGCCATATAGTTAGGAGCCGAGAGAGGATATCTTCTTTAGAATTACATAGGGCAGAAGAGGAAGTAAACCCTTACCGAAATCTCATGCAGATATGGGACAGCGTTTGGGAGGGTACATCGGAATCGTTAGGCAAGAGCCTGTTATATTACGAATTGTCTTGGCACGATCGCTGGATGCTAAAGTAATCGTAGGAAAGAGCGCACAATCGTAGGAAAGACGTTAAGAAACTTCTCTAAACGCCTTGGATGACCTAAAAAACGTTGACAAAATAATTAAAAAATGCATGCATGCTTACGAGATATCCCGGTGTACACCTGCACACGTTTGGTCCAACACATTGTCCATTGCCCGAACAATTATGCACGTCATTGCAGTGATACTGAGAACAGTCACTTCTAAACCACCCACGGTAACAGAAGCAAGTAGCGCCGACACAGTCGCCGTTGTGAAAACAGCCATTTGGACAGCGGATGACTGGAAAATGGGACAGTAGTCAATTCTAGAAGTATGCAAGGGTCATTTCAAGCAAAAAGGTTCTTGTTCGAAGATGGAGGGTAAGTGAGGTCAGAATTGTGATTGTGAATATATCATTATTAGAAATATTTCGTGCCAAACAACTAGCAGTAACAAAATACTTTATTGCATTGCATATCAATGTACGTACCAGCTCCTCTACTGCATACAAATGGATAAAGACTGTTACAAGGAACAACTTTTGTAATTCTACTACGTGTCATGATGGTACAGCGCTTGTTCCTCTGTTCACTGCCAATCATTTCCACCTGTAAAAATATAAAAATATAACAATCATGGAGCAACGTTAATTAAAAAACAACATTTATACGCATTTGCAGCCAACTTAGTCCAGTTTTTCCCACTAAGGAGCTTCTATGTCATTGTGCATGAGCTCATCAAAGAAAATAATTGCTGACCTCTGTTTTTCGTTTGTTCTAAGTATTTGTGCTGCAGAGAGGAAGTGAATTTTCTCAGCAAATGTGAATTATACATACATCGTGGAACTAACAAATCCTAATTTTTCCGCCGGTTTGCATATAATTAAACACTTACGAAGTCGCCTTCAGCTGCCAACCAAATTGGCACGACGGATTTACCGTCTGGTCTCGTTGCCTTCATCGCCATGTTGACAAATTCCATGTCATTTGGTGAAGACGCCGACGTCACATGCCCTCCATAGTACTTGAATAAATACAAGTGAATAGAATTCAACAAGAATAATGAAATAGTACTGCGAAATATTTCGCAAACAAACTCGTGAGAATATCTCTTTTGTAGTCAATGGAGTTTGTTATGCTAATGAAAAAAAAAATCAGTGAAAAAGAAATGATGCAGAGTGCTGCGCGAACTCTGGCAGTCCGGTCTCTTACTCGAGGACCTCCCCGCGGCTCACTAATATCATATTTTTTTTTCACTGATCTGTTTTGACTTGCGCTACCGGACGGACTTCGCCGAAAAGGAGGGACCGCTCGTAGTCTATATCGTTCAGTCACTCATAAGCATATTCACTTTTCCTTTAGGCCCCAGCTTAAGTGTCGCACTTACTTTGAGTCACACCTTAGGAGAAAAAGAAAGGTCAACATAGCACACAGAGTCAGTTAAATGACAACTTAAAGGGACACTTTGTCTCAGCTATTCGTCGTACCTGGCAATAATCCTCTGCCTCCATGCGCATCCTACTTCCCCTTCTGATAGTGTAGCAAGTGGAGCCTGCTTTAAACCAGTTAGCAGGACAACCAACTGTAAAATGACACAAAACCTTCAGTAACTTTTGACGTCAACTGCTACTGAAACAAACCAAATTACACTCGTATATATTGGCAGTTTCTTGTCTTACTAATATTTTTTCTTTCACTTACTGGATAAGATGTTCCTGGGAGGTAATTTCTTGAAAGGTTTGTATTGCACAGCTCCCAGTCTGTAATCATCATCATTCTCATAAATTCGCAAACCAACAAAAGCATCTATTCCAGTGCCCCACCAGTTTTGTGTTGCCAAAATCGGGTCAGTAACTGCTTGCCTCGTCGAGCTTAGCTCGTAAAGATTGTATGGATTTTTTAGGTTATTATTGTAGTATTCCATTGGCCCGTTTGACATAATTGTCACACCATAGTTTTGACCAATGTCTTTGTTGAGGAAAAACGTGTTGTGTTGGCATTTCTGTTCTTTAGGCAACGCACCAGAAAATTCGAACTCGATTGTATACAGTCCAGAATTGTTATAAAAGAAATTGTTTACCACCTCACTCTGTATATCGGTAAGTCTAAGAGTACTGCCATGCCCAAGATTACTGTCAAATGCGTTGTCGACAATATAAACAAAACTTTGGTTACTTTTCCTTCCTGACACAGATAAAGCGCCATTGGCGTTATAGGAGAAGGTATTGCCGTATATAAAATTTTTTCGCAAACTTGATCCACCGCTTTGTGCTAGCTTAACCTCAATCCCTCCAATGCGGTTACTAGATATAAAGTTGTTAATGAGTTTAAACTTGTTGTCCTGGATTTCAATGGAGATGGCCCTCTTGTGAAGCACTTTTGAAGAAGGGGCGGGTGTGTTGGTGATCTTACAGCGTTCGATTGTGAGAGGAGATCGTATATCGCTTCCATCAGACACAGAAGTCCAGCCTATACTCTGGAGAGAGTTACCATTAAATACACTGTTGAATATTCGATGTTCACCTGTTGTGAAAAATAAATATCATATTAGAAAAGTGCTTAATACAGGTAAGTAGCTTAAAAATGTTCAGCCAAAAGTGATTAATGCGAGTGCTGTGCTCCTGCTTTCTCCCCCCTTCCTCCCCATTCCCACCGCCCTCCAAAGAAAAGGAATTTTGTAACTGCGTTTTTGTTCAAGGTATTCCTCACCTGGGATGATAAAGTTTAGTTTCGTAAAGAAGAAAGCCAAACGAAATTAAAAAGGAGTGCTATCAAAAAAGAAAAAAAAAATACTGCAAGAGAGACGATGTTGGAATGGTGTAGTTTAAACGCCACGGCGACGAAGTTATTTTATCAGAATATGGCAATTGTTAAGATGAATGTTGAAAACCATCTTGGATGGCATTTGTTGAACTTACCGCTCTCTGTGAGTTGTTCCGAAAACTCTTCCAAAACTCTTAATTAATTACATGCAAACCTTTATCCAATTGTGTCTTATACCTTTTTTCCACACTTTATATATGTTGACTTCTCAATGCCTCAGTGTGGGACTTTTATTTTCTCTGATTTACTATTGTGCTAACTTTGTATTTGCTCATACTTTTCAATTAAAATGCACTCTACAGGAGAGCAACAGCAATTTACCTTCATGCGAACAGCTCCTTAGCACTAGGTTATCCACAGCGACGTAGTTTGGTGAGACATAAAACGACCTGTTGTATTTTGCTTCGAGGATCAGCCTGTACTCATCAACATCGTTGTTAGGAATGTCTATCATTATCTTTCTCCACTTTCTAATGTTACTATGTTTGGTTCTCCAGATGAGCTTTTGTTCGATCTTGGGAAATTTCCCTGTATTATTTTTAAGACAAAGAAACTGAGATGGTCTTTAATCAAGTCCACTGCACATACTTTAATACGACTATTATGGCAAATACGATCTAAAAACAGATATCTTGACGAAGAAATCAATCTACGGCTGATTAAGAAATGTTAATTCAAGGACTGAAAAAAGAAAAAAAAACCTTTTCAAAAAGGATTCATAAAAAATTACCACAGTACGAAGCAGTTCTTACGAACCTGTTTCCAAGTAAAGAGACAATCGAGTTTCTTCTCCCCTCAAGCGGTAGGTGAACATCACATAGCAGAAGCGGGAAGATTTCTTTATGGATGGGCTGATGATGGCGGCGCGAACGTCTTGTAACACCCCATAGTAATCGCCGACGAAGAGGAATCTTCCTGCACGTCAGGAATGAATGCCAAGCTGAATGTATGTTTTTTCTTTTGTCTAGATTTCTGCCCTACAATTTTTACCTACAAATGTGACAACGGTTTTGACACAAGTATCTTTCGGAAGGGAGCTTGTGCGATAGAGCAAGACGGTCGCAAAATTTTTGTTCGAAAACTATAATCAATTCTAAAAATACATATACCTTTTTAGTTAATATGTTTTGTTTTCCCAAATCTAGGTTGGTAATAATTCTCCACAGAACCTTTTTTTGTTCTTATTTTCCCTTATTCACATGCAGATGCAAGCATAATTTTACAAAAGGCAAAGGTGGAGGATTCCCTAGAGACCTTCAATAAAGAAAAAATTTGTGCAAACTATAGAGGTATATTAGTTGTAAATTAAAAAGGACAAACCATACCGGAATAAGAAAGGTAGGAGTAATCTTGTATGTAAAATGGCCACCCGTAAGCTAATCTTGCCCATGTTCTGGTGACGTTGTGTCCATGGATTGACACGTTGCTGAATGTACGCCAACCACAGTATCCAACCTCAAATGTACAAGGGCTACCTAAGAACAATAATTACTAACGTCAGATAATATTCATTTTGTACAAAAACTTTTTTACTCAAACCGGAAAACCGTTTTGGTATTTTTTATGAAGCAGGGTTTTCATGTTTCGAAATCGTTTTGACAAGAAATTAATCGTTGGAATGTGACCATAATCCATGTTCCATGTTTTTCTTAATTCACTAACAGGATGTCAATTGGAAAAATATGGATCCTCGCCGTGTACAGTGTTACAAAATTGTACAAAATACAACTCTTGCACAACTGATATGTTTTGCTACCATTATTTTAGGGGCAACAGAAATAATCGAAAAAAAATGTAGACGTAGGAAGATACTTACCCACAATATTGATGTTTTCTACCAGAATAAGGACTTCCGAGTTCACGTCACCAGCCCACTCCAATAAAGCTATACTGCGTGGAATGAAAAGTTCTTTGTGTACAAGAGCAGTCAGGCCCGCATGTGAGCTATCGATGATCAAATTGGAAGGAGTCCTAGAGCCATAAACTTTCAGCCGTCCTGTTCCTTTAGTGTACAACAGAGTCACCTTGATTCCTTTACCCCTGTCCACTGTCAGTACCTTTTGGCAAGTTACCGATACCCTTGTGTTTTTCGGCCGCGTAACATCAAAGTAGAGAAGTGTGATACTCGCTATCAGAACAGGTTTATATATACTACAAAGAAAGACTCGTCCATAGTAGACTCGAGGGATGTTTTCTGCATTTGGTTCTTCAACGGAAAGACCTCGAAGGTTTCTGGATGATTCGCAGGTCTCCATCACAAAGTTGCCACGTATCTGTACCACGTTTATACCAGAACCTCCAGTGTTGTAAAAAGTGCTGTGGTTGAGATATATGTCATTCACTGGAGAGAAGATTCTTAAGCCGCCGGAGGTGCAGTTTTTTATTGTGACATGTTGAATCTTTGGCGCAGTTATGACTGCTTCAATGGCTGGTACCGACACTCCTAAGTGACTTCCACAGTGGGAAAAGTGAACGTGATTCAACACGGAACGCGCGTTGGAACTACTCGCTTCTCCAGTGGATACATAGCGCAGATTCCCCCAAGGTTGACCCTGGCATTTTATTTCTCTCAGGATATTGGTATTGTTTAACGCTTCCTGATTTCCAGAGCACTCATCTAGGGCTGTTTCGTTACCATAGCAATAAAATTCTATTAGGAACGAGTCAGTAGTATTAGAGTGAGATTCATCAGACTTCCAAATTGCAAACATTGGTGGACCATATCCAAGCTGTCTACAAAGTACGTTAGAGACATTGTTAACTACCTTAAAGTTTGAAGCAGCCACTGGTTTCCAAGTATTGTTGTAAAAAACTTCTGCTCTCCCCTCCCATGGGAATCTGCCATCTAAAAGGCGAACAGGTAACCGAAAATTTTTGTTTAGGTCCGAAGGCTCCTTAACTGTCAATACAACTGGATGTAGAGATGTCCCTTTCGCCTTAAACGTTCCAGCGACAAGTATGCTCTTTCCGGGGCTTACGCTGATTGTGACACCTGCCTCTATGGCTAAAGTGACATTTTCTGTAACAAATAAATCCGAAGTTACGAAGTAAGGACTTTGAGAAGGATGAAGCGTTAAAGACTCCAACAATCTCCCTGACAGAATACGGCCAGGGATTTTAAATTCACGTTCTCCAACAGCAGATAAGATGTGGTCATCTCTACTCAGAAGAATTGGCAATAATGTGGCAACGGCAAAGTCATAGTTGTCATCGAAGTCCCAAATCCTGTCACGCACTTCAGTAATGTTTGTTGTGCCCCACCAGTTATGTGTGACGTTTACAACGTCACGAGTGGAAACAGCAGATACGTTCAAACACAGCTCCCTCCTGTATTGACTATTATTCAATTTGTTGAAGTGAAACTCCATTTCTTTATATGACAGGATGCCAGTGAAAACAACTGCGCAGGAGCTAACGTGGTTTAATAACTGTGCAGAAGAGTGAGGGATATTATTAAATATAGTGTTATTATTAAAGCCAACCTTTTTCCTCTGAAGGGATGGAGAGATGTCATAGATCATCTGAAGGAAAACCACACCTTCTGCCTCATTTGCTGTGAAAATGTTGTTTTCCAAAACAAAGCGCTCGTCCAGGCGATGGACTTCTATCACACTCTTATCCTCACAAAGATTCTCATTGAAGAGATTATTTTGCAACGAAATTTGAACGTAAGATGCCGTGCCTTCTAGAAACACGCAGGGTCCTAAATTCCGTGTGAAGTTGTTATTTTCAACCTCAAAGCTGTCACGACTTGCATATCTGCCAATGTAAATCACTCCGTTGACTGGGCATCGATTCGCCAAAAATAAATTACCTTGAATAATTACGGTTGATCTCCGTCCATAGGGCCAGGACCTGGTCTTCAACAAGATTACACTGAAGCCTTGATTTTCCCTAAAGGAATTATTAGTGAAAGTAAAGGTTTGATCAATATTCCTGTTAAGTGAAATTTCCACAGTGGATCCTTGATTGCGAAAAAAATAATTGGAATGAGTTACTATGGCGGGGGAATAACTATCATAATAAGTATAGATATTGTGGTAAATGGCTCCCTTCTTGTTTAGAGAAAAACTATTATTAATTAATAATAAATCTGGGCGCGACCCGTAGGCGTGATCATAGGTCACCAATCCATAGTCACCACTCGCTGTAATGGTCGAGTTTACAATCGTGATTGAGTCTTTGTCACTGTGAGATCTTCCCTCGATTAACATATAGACTCCATGAAGAAGGGAACTGTTAATAATGCAGTTTTGTATGATAAGTTCTTTGGAAGTAAGATGCTGTATGATAATTCCTTGCTTGTTGCGATGGAGACTTGTTGAGGTGATTTCAATAACCTCAATGCCGATCGGTGCAAGTCTGATACCGAATTCTTGGGAGGCAGTTAATTCTGTGTCAACGATGCTGAGATATTTCAACATGGAACCTCCAACAAGAACAGCTCCTTGAAGACTGCTAGAAACCTTTGTACGAGCTAACCTAATTTCTCCACCGATGTATGCAAGCTTTTCGCTGGCTGTTGATTAAAAGAAAATAGTATTTTTTTTTATTAAAAATATGTTATTTTCCGTAATGGGAAAAACTATCCCCGACCTCGGGCACAGTTTTTCCCACTACGGTCTGACCAGGGTTGCTGAACATCATTTTAAACTTATCATTTAACTATGCCAAATGCTTGCCAAGTGAACCAAGGATTGAAATTACGGCAAAAGCCTTCATGAACTGAACAATTCTTGAGAAAGATTTTTATTTGCGTACTGATAAAGGAGATTAAAGAGGCTTTAAAACAAACTTTTAACTTTTTTTCCTTTTTTCAATAAAAAATGTTTCCACGACTTTGTTGTTGCTATATTATAGAGGAATTGGTCCACGCCTTAAGCTGTGCGTATATCGAGTTATGGTGCACGCTAGAGGTTTGGGTAGCACGAGAGAAGCACGAGCGAAGCTCTAGCTTCTTGAGTTCCAAATGGACCAGTTCTTAAATGAAGGAACTCGTCATTTTTAAAAGAAATTCGAGAGTCTAATTCTTTGGGATTATGTATTTTAAGACTACAGACATCCCGTACTTAAATCATGAAAAATTTTATAAAAATATGGATTACTACTTACCTTTGACTGTAAACACCAAGAAATTGATTACTCCACTAATTCCAGCACGCTTATAAAACTCAAAAGAAATAGACGAATTTGATGAGTTAAAGATTAGCTGATTATCCCATGATGACAGCCCCATCGTCCATGGGGACCCTTGAGATATATTTACTCCATCGTACACGTGCAAGTAAAGATAAGATGCATGCCAATGAGCTGATTTGTAAAGCTCTTGAATGACAATTTTATGTTCGGTTTCTGTCCTCAAGATATGGTGACATTTGAAGCTTGATTTCTCTTCCAATATCTCTAAGGAAAAGTGAAACACTTTACCTGCTGGTACAACAGTTTCATTCTCAGAGCAGACATGGAGAACCTTGCTCATGTCTTGGTTGGTCATTTTGGCAGTGAATTTATATGTGTTTTCCCACAAGCTTGTCGTACTTAGAAATTTGAAACCATTGCCACTGTTTCTTTCCATGCATATGTCTGTAACCATTAGGGAAGGAGAATGCGAGAGGATACCATGTGACTTTGTATTTGATATTGTAGAATGGGGTATCAACGACCTGTAGTGGAACGGACTCTGATATACCACTTCTATACCGGATCCAACGGAGTTGTTTATGAAAACATTGCTCATACGAACATTGTGATGATAGAAGTCTACTTTAAGAGCGGCACCAGGAATTTGGATGTCACTACGATGAGCGAAACCAGCATCAAATATTTCCAGGTGCCGTAGAAAGGTTTGATGTGGTGTCATTGTTAGATGAAGTCCCGCCCAATTGTATTGTTGACAAAACACGTGCACGATGTACTCACCACATGAAGATCTATAGCTCCTTGTTTTGGAACTACAGTTCATTATGTCACTATCGACGTTCTCATCACAGACAACGTTATGAAGGAAACCAGGTTCGTTTTCAGAGGGTTGTTTGAAACTGTGAGAGAAATATGTAAGATCAAGTTGTTGGCAAATTATTTTGGCCTCTGAGGTAAACGATCTGTAATGCGAAAGACACAGAGGCCACCAGGTGCCATTAACTAAAAATTCCAATCTACCTTCCCATGGGCCGGCACCCCCGCTAAGACGAAATGCTCCCCGGTGAATTATTTTCGTAAATCTCACTTTTTCACTTTCGGTTCCATTGACAAGAAGCGTTCCATATACAACCATGGCTGATCTGGAAGGAAACAGCAATGTAACATTTTTTGGTACCACCAAAGTCCCGTTGGTCAAGATAATGATGTCATCTCGAACATAGTAGGGCGATTCAGTAATTGACAGGGTAAGCGGTCTATCCACGATTCCGCCAATCGTTGAACCTCGTAGAAAACAGCTTGGTCTGGAGGTATTCGAACGAATGACACGTTTTTCTGAAGAGAGGAAATACGGGAAGAAAGCCACTTGCGACAACTGAACTCTGTGATGAAAATCGAAGATCTTGTCAAAGATTTTGCACTCATCTGGCGTGCCCCACCAGTTGCGCTTTGCGTCAATAATTCGACGATGATCATAAAGCAGCGTAGAGATTTGATAAGCGAAGGCGGGATTTTCAAAGATGTTTTCACGCAAAGTAAAACTTCCTTCTTTAAAGACAATGATCGCCCGACTTGTGAGCCGTTTAAAAAAATTTGGAAAAAGATTTTTTAGATGGGGTTCGTTGTCTTCAAAAGTGTTATTTGTTAAGACGGCTAATCGAGCTTCAGGATATGAGTAGAAGTCTATAAATACAGCATTTTCGACACGGTTGTTGTTAAATCTGTTTCTGCTGATTTTGACATTGACAGGGTTACTCCTATAGCTACCACAACTGATATCATCAAAAAGTTTGATTACTTTTTCCGTGTTGTTCACAAAAACGTTTGAATCGATTAAAGCGTCTATGCCGAGGAAACCTGTGCAGTACACGTAAATTGCATTTACTTTGTTTTGTTCAAAGTGATTGTTCTCCAAAAGGGCCGTCACTCTTCTTGGTCTATCAAAATACCACCGGTTGTGGTCCGGAGACAAGATTATTCCTCCTCCGCTGTTACTTGCTACGCGATTTTTGTTAATTGTGATAGAAACATTTGAAGTATGTTTCTCAAGGGCTAATTTAACACCATAGTTGGCATTTTCACTGATCACGCAATCTGTCAGAGTAAGATGTTTAAAATAGTGTCTCTGTCGAGAGATATCACGTGGAGGATCGCACAAACTAATTCCATACCTGGAGTTTAAACTTGCTGTGCAATTAAAAAACTGATGAGTTCCCTCCTCGTTTGAAATATAACCACCATCGTGACTGTTGCGTGAAAAATCGCAATATTTGAAGTTGGTAGATACTTTACCATCAGAAAACCGTACTCCACAATGTTTATTTAAACCAAAGGTTACGTTCCAACATTTGACCTTACCAGCACCGTAAGCTATTGCTAGCCCGCTATGAGCATTTCCACTAAACACTGAGTCAGAAAAATTACTTTTGAGGGCAACGCGCAAAAAATATAGTCCATTTAGCGTATTCTTTTTGGAAAACATTTGGTGAATTGTACATGATAAAAAGCTGCTGTATACAATTCGAAGACCATTGGCGCTGTTGTTAATCACGTGAGTATCGAATATCTTCATTTTCCCCTGAAATCTGTCTATCATCATTCCGTCCATTTTGTTCCTTAAGACGGAGGTCGAGGAAATGTTCATATTTCCTATGAAATTTTCTAAGTATAATCCAGTTGCTTTGTTATCATTGAATGCACAGCGGAAAATTCTGAGAGAGCAACAATCTGCGAAGATTAAACGATAATGAATCAATCAATTCAGAGAACACAGCACAGATGGTGGGCAACTTATTTGCAAAGCTACTACGTGTAGAAGAATTCAAAGAACATGTTAGAAAGGGTTATAAGTTAGTCTTCTGTTTTGTTTGTGTAGTATATTCTTTAAACGAAGATGATTTCAATTGAAGCGCAGCAACGTTTAGTTTCTTAAAATAATAACAATAATAATAAATTTACGAACAAGAAGTGATTTTGAAAAGCATTTCACTATAAAAAATTGCGATAAAACATTTCTTAAAATCATTTTAAGATTAAAAAAAATTGCTAAAAAGCGACGACGTTTCGACGTTGGCTGAACGTCATTATCAAGTCAAAATAAATAGAGTTTTTTGGTCTATAAATGCTAAAAAAACAACAATAGCTGATAAAAAAATTGTAACGTGAGAAAATATCAAACAAAGAGTTTCGCACGTATGGAGTCCGTCTGAATATTTAAATTGGGCTTAAGTTTCTTGATGAAGAGCATTTCAAATACTAAGCAATCAAATTTGCTCTGGCACTTTCTTAAAACCGTGAATTGGCTTTCTCTCAAAAGGTTGTTGTTACCATGAGCTTCTAAGAAATGTCTACCGATTGCCGAACTTTTGTGTTCAGCAATGCGTTGATGAAGGTGTCGGGCTGTATACCCGACATAATCTGCATCGCACAGATCCCATGATTAATTAATTAATTGATTAATTGATTAATAAATAACAATTAAAGTTATTGAAAACGCATTCTGCATATAAATGTCTCGATACTTTTTACAACTAAAGGAAAGAGCTCTTACGAAACAAGTACGTTTTCAACGCCATTTTAAAACTATCAACAGAGTTACTTTGCCTAATGACAAGCGGTAGCTGATTTCACAACCTCGGAGCAATTGCCGCAAAAACACCTACCTTTGTTGGCCGTTACCATGAATTTCACCCTGGCGTCTGAGCTGCCACCACTAAATCGAAATCTTATGTAAAGTTCGTGACCAGAACTTGAGTATGGAGTGACAGCCTGATTGGTACCTGTAAACTCGTCCAGGAACATGAGTTTTGTTGCATTGGTTGAATTTCCATCGTGGACGTGCAGCTCCAAATACGCACCAGTGATGGATCGAAAGTGCAGAGCCAAGTGCTGCCCTGGCTTAGCTCGTATTACCTAGGAACAATGTAAAATCTAATTAAACGAAATAAACATTACATTACGGCTTCATCGAATACGCCACGAATGAAAAGTATTGAACAAAAATATCCCATCGTTCCTATCACGTTAAACAAGTTTTCATCACGGAATAAGTTAATAAAGATGAGGCTCTTAACCTCGTGACTCTTGTCAGTGACAAGCACCTAACTACACATTCAATAGCAGCAACCTACTCTTAATCATTAATTTTATGATGGTAATTTAAAACTATCCTTGTAGTTACACACATTGGTCTGTTTCTATTGTTTGTATTGTCCAATGAGCTTTTAGTTAAACACTTTAAATTCAACTTTGTACTTTGCATAAATCAGGACTGAAGATGACAGAAGAACTGTCGAAACATGTTTTTTTAAGAAAATGTCTTTTATTTTAAAATTCGTTACTAATTTACTGCTATCCAGACTTTTTGGCAACATCTAATTTTGCCTTATAATATCACCCATTCAGATCAAACAAAGTCTCAAGAATATAGGAAATGTTTTGCATTAAAAGAAGCTCTTGATTGTCAAAAAAATTCTCCTTATCAGCGCCTTAGGAAATGTTTAGAGGGGAGAATGTGTATACTGCTGTTAGGGTGAGAAGGGTTAAGTTAATTCTGAAGAAAAACCATAATGATTGCTTTCTAGGTTTAGAAAATTGCTCGAGTTAATGCTGTGTTCGCTTTTTATCTGGATTTTCACGTTTCGCCACTAATATTAAAGATTTATAATTTTTTCGCTATTGCGAGTAAATGTTTCGAGAACAATAGGCATTCCGCGCGATGATATTTATTCCGTTTGAGAAGGAACCCAAAAAAGCTTTGTTTTGAAATTTCTGCCTGCCTAAGGACAGACGGAGAGACGAGGACTCTCGGACGAACTTACGGGACGAACTTACGGTCATGGCGTCATGAACAAGTTAGATCGGCTTGATACTATTAATGAATAGCTCAGGAATTTATGAATATTTTCTTACCTTGGCACATTCTACATTGGAATATGCTTTTCCAAACGCTTGGAAAATCAATGGAAATGAGGCTGTGTTATTGTTCGCATCAAAGGAACAAAAATCCACTGCATGAAGGACAGTACCACGGTAAAACATGCCTTGTCCAAGAGTTGTGTTCTCCACCATAGTGCTCTCCAGAGTGACATCCCTAAGTCTTCCTTTAATGTCGATACCAGTAAAACGACTGTTCCTGACCCTACTATTACGCATGGTCAGTCGGGAACTCGAATTAACGGACCTCACTCCGTATACCGAGTTTTCAATGCGCACGTGATCGAGGATTGGAAGAAATCCTACGCCCCTTATTGCTTCGTACGCTTGGGAGATGTCAACGTATTCGAAGATAGAGTTATTTTTTGAGCCTGTAAACTCGATACCCATCCAAAGAACGAATTTTACCAGACTTTCGCATTCTAATCCAATATCCTGTCCATGATCTGTTAAAAAAGCAATATCACAGCATTCTCTTGAAATCCACTGAGCGATAAAAATCGATAATGGCAGGGCATCGTAAATTGTTGAATTTCAATAGTAATCAGTCGATTGATTTCATATATTTTGGTGATTACTGAATGTAACTTTGACTGATTTTTATGGATGCCATATCGTTTTGATTACCCTTTAGAGGGTAGCTATTTTGCAGATTGTGCGTACCTTTGGTTAAGTTGCATAAAGTTTGGATTACCTTTGTAAAAGGTAATCACTACGCAAATTGTGCGTGCCTTTGGTTAATTTGCACACTATGCGAGTTTCGAGGCGTCCTATAAACAGATTCCACTGACGTAATCTAACAGTTAAGAGCACCTTCAAATTGAGGTAACCATGTGCACATTTTATTTTAAAGTGGAGTGACTGTAACGTGACTGGAACAATCGAGTAAGGTACGTCTCCTCGTAGATCGAATAATAACAATAATAATAATTATAATAATGATAATAATAATATCATCATCGCGATCCTACGATCAGCCTTGCTGTGTCTCAGAGGAACCAGGAGCAAGAGAAGAGCAGCCAATCTGACATTGACATTACATCGGAAAGTGCGCAAGCCAGAATTTGAGAGTAACTCTTTATCAGTTTGAACTATTATTTTTAGATAGTTTTTATTTCTTTATTAACTTTTTGATGCTTTTTATAATTGTTATTAGTAGTCTTTAGATAGTCATTTTACGACAATTCTCTTTCGTACACAAGAAGAATGTACAATAGGTATATATTTTAATATTCATATTCTTGAATCTGTAAATAGTCTATTTTTTTTTAAATCTATGAATAAAGTTTTGTTATTATTTAAAAAAAAAATAATGATGATGATAATAATAATAATGATAATAAAACAAACTAGCGCGAGATCTAACGGGATAAAAGTATTTACTAGGAGCCCCGGCATTACTTGGGCTCCTGTACTTACTTAATAAATTTGATCGTTTTAGTTTTTTCTTTCCTCCTGCCAGGCCCGTAGGTCCAGGGACGGAGTCAGAAAGTGGGTTTTGTCATCTTCAAACATGTGACGTAGTCCCACTTCAGTTAGCGAGCTTTACGAGCATTACGTTTCAACCCAGCAGTAGCAAGGTAAGCTTCAGTCCTTTGTTTTTTTAGCTGCACAACTCCCTTTTTTCCAAATACTCCGACACTCTCAAATCGGTCGATTACAAGTGAAACTTCAGTGCCTTTGAATACATTGACCGTTAAAATTATCAAAGCACACTGAATGCCTGACCATAAATTGATTCGACTGAAACCAAAAATTCATTGGTCAGAATCTGATGGGCAGAATTGCCATATAAACAAATTAGGACTAAGTGATGGCTGTAATTATTATTGTAGCCCAACATTTGTGGTAACATCAAGGCTTGACAAAGAAGAGTCTCTTTCAATAACAGACTGTAGATCTAGATATACTGAAGTGGTACATCGTCATGTTCAAAGCTTAAGTTTAGCTGCTTAGTTCGGTCTGATCATGAGCCGGGCAGAATTTTGGAACTGAGGATTCAGCTAAGACATAATAGTTGTGTTCTGAGTGCTGTTCGTTATGCAGCATCCTGAAGTACAGATAAATTCAGAAATAGTCGTACACCTGTTGTTTGCAATTATAACACCGATCAATACAAGTACGTACACAAGGTAAAACCAAGAAAAATTTACAAACTATCTAAAACAAAAACAAACAAACAAACAAACAAAAGAAAGAAAACAAACCAACAGCACTTCATTTTATTACTACAGAAACGAATAATGCTATTAGAGTCGTTACCAGGACACTTTTAAATTCTGCCCACGATAATTGGGAAATGGGCCTGTTGCCTGTAAGCGCAATCATTACGTCATGTATTTTAATTGTTTACAGTTGCATGTTATGCATATTTAATGCTACTTTACATATAATTCCTAGACCCCGCCCCTAATCTAAGTGTATTATTTTTACCAAAATATTTTCTCTTAATTTTTTAACATGCCATGCTTACTTAGTTTATTAAAGATATAGTTAAAAAAAGAATAATAATAATTAAAAAAAAACGCGCCGAGTGCATTGTTGTGTCATATAAGGACGCCGGAATTTTGAAGAATACCAGCGAAGTACCCTTCTCGAGTGTTCTTAAAAATTCCTAAGTGCTTATATAACTCAACAATGCTCGACGAACAAGAGTTTTTCTTTTATTTCTTTTATAAGATGTATTGTGAATTGCGCGCGTGCTCGTACCGATAACGTAGGCTGCGTGCATTATATCTCAGCAGTGTGCTCGTGTGCGTAAGGCGCGTGCTTTATGGAAATATAATGAACTCGTTCTCATCAATCACGGCCCGTGCATTTCTATGAACATTTTATAATAATATATATTCAATATTAGTAAACTGTCGGCGCAAAATAAGCTCTTCTCATTCGAATTTTAACGACACCTCTCTGCTCAAATATTTTTAAACAAAATTTTAATCCCGCACTCAACACTTTTAAATAACAAAATGAACTCTTAAATGCTTAATCAGTCCCATTTTATATTCATCATTGGGTGATTCTAAGATATACTGAAATGCATAAGCTATGTAGCTACTTAAAAATAAAATATCAATTTAATATATAATAATTAACGCAGCTGAACCAAATGCAATTGTCCAAATTTAATTGAAAATAATTAACTTCTTAAAACTATATAAAGCGAAATTTTTATTAAAAAAAAAAAACAGTTCCTTTACCGAGAACAAAGAAAATGAACTTACAAGAGAATAATTTCATTACATAAACTGCGATGTTATATAGGGATTTTTTTTTTCCAGAGGGCACGGTAACGAATCCTGCAATCTGATTGGTTCTTTACCCGGTCAGTATTTTCCTATCTCTGCCCACGGGCAAGGGTAACGCTCTCGTGAGATGCCGAGTACATCCCTTCATTCGTTGCCATTTTTCATAAATATATGTCGTTTTTACCGGCTGGGCAGTATTTTTAAGCAAAGACGTCGGTCACTACCTCAAGCTGATAAATAACTTATTAATCCTCTCTTTTCGCTCTCCCGAGTCACTTTAGTTGACTAAAAAAATTTTCGTTTCAGAATGACTTTTTTGTATAAGCAATAGTGTCATTACGTTGCTTGACAGGCGGTCTAAAAGCCATCTGTAATTAATTTTAATCGTTCACAAAAAGTACCTAGAAATTCAAAACGTGGGATATTTGGTTAAAGTTGAACTAATTGATGGAACTTTCATTCATTTAATATCTGAATTTTCTCAAACAATTTGTTCTTAGTGAAAAGGCGAGCGAAGTTTTAATTTCAGTTCTACAACAAATATACGCTCTCGGTGAGTCTTTTCAAGTCCGTTCAATTTGGACATTTGTACTGTAAATTGCTCAACAGAAACTTCTAATGAGAATTCCATGAGAAAAGGTGGCATTAAATCCCCTTGTGTCTCGTTGGAGTGTATCATCCGAATTTAGTTTTTGTGGAGGAAAGACCAGATTTTCACACGCCATTGCAGCAAACAAACGAGCAAACTCTCACAACTTCAAAAAAACAAAATTGAATTTACTTACAATTACTTTCTTCGACGATTACTTAATGAACAAAGGTAAATCTTGGTACATAACTTCATCGTCGATGAGCGTAAATAATACTTTCCGTAAGATCATTGACTGTTTTTGAAGAAAATTTTGTGGTGACAGTCCTTGCCAAACTAGGTTCGTTGTTTTTCAAAAATGTACATGCGCTTTTTTCTTTTCTTACGCGCTCTCTAATTGACAACTGTCAGATTGTGACATACTTGTATAATAATGTTTCAAAGTTTGTTTGGAAGCCTTTTAAACCACCTTTACCTTTAACCAAACGAAAATTTTCTCTTTGATTTGCATCACCTCTATTTTAGTTACCATTTACTCGCTCAAAAACTGTTCAGTTTATGGAAGATCTTGTCGTATTTACAGCCCTATATCATTCGGGTTCTTTCGGAATAAATTTCGTTGAGTTAAAAAAATAATAATTATGTTATTTAACGGCTAAGAGTTGGTCCATATGACGAAAAACTGTGACCTCCGCCTTGAAAATGCTGCCCTCGGCCTACGGCCTTGGACAGCGTTTTCAAGGCCTCGGTCACAGTTTTTCACCAGACGGACCTCCCAGCCGGCAAATAAAAATATATTTCTGGCCCTGAGAAAAGCCGTAACGACGCACGTGAAAAAATATCGTATTTTTTCTCTTGCGTTGATATAGCCAATCAGCTGCTGACACGTCACTCGCCTTTGGCACCACTCGGTCTGGTTGATTGATGAATGGCAAAGCATCGCAGGGCGTTTATTTATTTATTTATTTTATTTCCAATCCAAAGTTGTTTGTTTCTGAGATTTGCACGAACTATGGCTGAAAAATTCGTTTTGCATACAGATACAGACGTAGAAAAATTTCTTGCAAACCGAAGGGGACTTGACGTTGCTTTTGGCGTTTCTCGCGACGGAGAAAGAGAATCGAAAACTTGCCACCGGCCGAATTGGATACCTTCCTGAGCGGATTTCTGTTATCCGTGCGGAAAAAGTCTGGCAAAGAGTATGAAGCAACAACTCGTAGAGGATTCATTACTTCGGTTGAACGCCATCTGACAAAAAACGGCGACTCATTAATCATGGGTCAACCGTTTGCAATAACATGAGATGCATTGAAGTCAAAACAGAAACAGCTGAGAAGGCTTAGCAAAGGAAACAAACCACGAGAGGCCGCTAGTCTCGACCAAAACGAGATCGATCTACTTTTCAAGAAGGAAGTCATGGGAATTCATCTGCCTCAAGCACTCATTAACATACTGCGGTTCAACAACTGTTTACACTTCGGAATAAGAGGAGGGAAAGAGCAACGCAACCTTAGTTAAGGAGATGTGGTCCTCAAAACCGGCTGTCCTGGCAAATGATATCTCGATTACTCAACTGAAAGAGAAACAAAAATAAGACCTGGCGATAATCTATTAAACAGAAGACAAATCAAGCCACGAATGTACGAAAACCTTTCAGTGTCCGATGAGGGAAATCCCATTTCATCATACAAATTGTACATGACTAAACGGCCAAAGGAAACTCTCGTCGATGGGTCGCCATTCTACTCAACGGTAAACGATCATAGCAAAGAAAAGTCAGCCTTATCAAGTGCGAAATGGTTTAAGCTTCAACCTATGGGAGCGAACAACCTAAATACCTTCAGGTAAGACTTTACGAAGGCAGCTGGTCTTGGAATAGATAAGCGAATCACCAGCCATGGTGCAAATAAAATACTTGTGCAAAGACTGCGAGACAGCGATGTTTTTCCAATAGAAATTGTCCAGATGATCAGCCATAAGAATATTCAGTTCATCAATAACTACAGTTCATTGGGGGAAAGTCAGCAAATGGCAATTTCAACCCTCCTGTCGACAGCATGTTCAAGCACTTCTGTCTCGCAGCGGCTTCAATCGCAAACAGTGCTGCAGCCAGTGATACGACAAAACTTTTCTGCGACGCTTGTGCCCGGTAAAAGTCAAATTTTCAAGTCTTTCTTTCAAGGAAATTATATTTCTAGAGAAACATTTATATTTCTAGAGAACAAAAATTTCTTTAAAAAACAAATACCTTTGCCAAGAGAAATTGTTTCAAATTTTCATACAGAACATTTTACTGTAGAACAATCTAAAAGAATAGGAGAAGAAACAGAAAAAAGGAAATAATACTTTTTGAGCTAATTTGCATTTGCTGATATTACAGTTGATAAAGCAGATGAAGCTGTTGAAACTGAAGAAAAACCTAACAAGAATTGAAAAGTCATTGAAATAGATGAAAGTGCCTTAATAGATATTATAAAGACAAAAGGTTAGTGTTATTGATTTAATAAAATGAATTTTTTTAAAATTAATTTAATTTTATTAAATGAATTCACTCGTGCTAATGGCGATATAATTGATTTAATCACAAATAAATTTAATGGAAATGGTTAAGGGATTCTTAACAGAAACATCTTACCTTTTAACAGAAAAAGGATGTGAATTTTTCATTAAATATTCTGGTCGGATTAAAATGTAAATTAATTATCAGTTATTTGATTTAGTTTAATATCAACCAATCAAAACGATCGACAGAGGCTCATCTTACATTGATTTGTTTATTGAACTCAAGAATCCAATGATAGGTCTTATGATTATTAAAAATAATTATAAGTGTTTTTATTATAACCATTTATAGAATGTTTATAAAAAAGAAATACCAAAGGATCCACAAAGAAAAGAGGTGAACTTGATTATACAGACAATACTTTTCTAGTAACGATTAGTCGAATGAATAAAATAGAAAGAAAAATGATGATATAACTATTGATGTACTTGGTTATAAAAATAAAAGTGTTTCCTATTTATATTTATCAATGCCAGTTTGAAAGTGAAATGAAACAATTGCTTATATCCGATTATCAAGGCAACAGTCATTATATTGATATTAACGATTTTAATAGATTTAATTATAAACAATCAAAACAGTATGGTGAGAGATTTTTTTATATGTTTTGTCTTCATTACTTCACTGCACAAGAAATACGTGATAAAAATAAACTTGCTTGTATTGAGATTAATGGGAAACAAGCTATTAACTAACCGCAAAAACTAATTTTGTTGACTTTAAGAGTTATCAGAAGAAGCCGATTGCACTTTCTGCTATTTATACAGATTTTGAGAGCATTATTATACCACGTGAAGTGCAACACAAAGATGAAACTATGAGCCATGTGTATGAAACTCAAAAACACAAAATAGATAGTTATGGGAATAAAGTTGTTTGTGGGTAAGATGATAAATACATAAAAAAGTCAAGATTTAAAGAGAAGAAAATGCTACTTACCAATTAACAGAGGCAATTCGAAGAGAAAACTCTTATCAAGATTTACAAAAAACAGACAAAACATTGAGATTATAATGACAGAAAAACATAAAATATCTTATGAAAAGACAAATATTTGCTATGTATGCTTCATCATAGGTCAAAAGATGAAGACAGAGATCATTGTAATTTTAAAGGATTGTAAAGAGGTCTAGCTCTTGTTAATTGAAACTTGAATTAGAAATTTAACGATAAAAATACCGATTGTTTTTTATAGCCTGCGTGGTTATGATTTTCGTTTTCTCATGCAAGAAATTTGTAAGTTTAAAGATATTGAAATGTATGTTAAAGCATCTAATACTGAGATATATATGAGTTTCATACTATCGAATAGAATTTATTAATAGTTTCAATCTTGTGGCAAGTTCTCATGAAAATTTGGTCAAAAATCTTGTGTAAATCCTGGTGATTTAATAACAAAGCATCAATTCAACCAAACGGAAATATGATGCATTAAATTTAAATACAACAAATACAATATATATTTAAAAAAAGATTGAAAATGTTGCAGATGAAACAAGAGCAAAAAGATTGTAGATGGTGATATAAATATGTCAAACCAAGAAGAAATTTAAGAGTTGAAAATGCAACATCGGGAACGGATGCAATCTTATCTTATCCCTTATCACAATTATGATACTGGATTTCCTGCTCTTGTATACAAGAGGCACCAGGCTTCAGGAAATGAGCTTTCCCGTCAAGTTTCACCCATCATTAAGATGATGTACTTTTCTAAGCGTAACTCGACCCTTTGTCTTATTTATCTGGACGGATCGTGAGGTATGGGGATTCTGATCTGCATGAAAGGGATTCACTTTATCTTGCAACAGGAATGAGGAATGGAATACACGAAATTGCAACGTCTTAAATCATTTTTGTATTTTTGATATTATAATTTCTGGGCACGGATACCTGTACGCATACTTTCACATATTAGCATGAACGAAAAGGTTTTTTTTTTTTTTTTTTTTAATTCAGCCGCCGGAAATTTCGAGTATCAAGTTTTGATTACCGACATGGGTATTTTGCAATGCGCTCAGAACTAAATATACGTGCTTGACCTGAGTTGCCAAAACACCACTGATTTTTGAAAACAGATTATGATATCAATATCATCATGTATGTAAATGTCTTGCTTCAAAATACTTTGTACTCTGAACGTTTGACAATATTTCTAAATGCTTTTTACCAAAATAGCAGAGATAAAGCATAACTTTTACAATGAAAACATCAATCTTAAGATTATTTCATGTACCACTTACCGCAAGAGTGTCTCCCAATCCCACTGTGCCTGCATTGCAACAGACTTGTAGTTTCATGCGTGGTTCCTCGGCAGTCCACTCGAGAGAGCCAAATGGCTCCATTACCTCCACCGTGAGTGTAATATCGTTTGGCTCCCAGAAAACCCAACTGTCTGCAAGCAACCTGTAATTCATAAGAAAATAAATACTTTATTAGCTATGTTTGTGCGATACTCTCTTTTAGTTTGCATGCTCCTTACTCTCCTGTAACAACCTGAATGAAACTTAAAAGTAGGAAAAGGTCTTCTTGAGCCTATCTTTCGATAACTACCGATCTCAACCCTGTGTTTCTTGTCGTCCCGTCAGATTTTAATCGAAATTTTGGTTTTCAAGTCATATTTTTCGGTTTGTAAAAGGTGCACTTTGAGTATTAACTATCATAGCTTTCCTTAACTCAGACAGGAGCAAAGTCAGGGTTTCTATAATTTCTCTGCATGAATATACAAATCGAAAATTAATCAAACTTGTTTCCCTCTCACACTTAATACACAAGCTGCATGTAGGCAATTTGTCTTTCATGTAGCAAGGGATTTCAACGAAACAAATGTTAATAATGTAAAGTATCTGCTTATATATTCACTATTGATCAGCATGGTTAGGCATGTTAGCTGGCTGATCTTGAGAGATTAAATATTAATTTCAGAACACTAACCCAAACACTTTTGCACGAAACGTACTTAATGCTTCCGATAAACAGACCGAATAAACCTCAGAACGCTTTAGCCAAAACAAAGATTTTCGTTTGGGTCCAAAACAAGGTCAGTAAACGAAGCACGTCCACTTGGAGGTTGAACAAGACAACCTCGTTGGGAAACTAATCGCAATTGCTTAAACTTAAATAACTTCAGACTTCGAATTCACATAATAACTACAAGCCGAATATAAAAGAATGACTAAAGCATACTTAACAAACTAAATAATGAAAAATTAAGCTTCATGAAATAGCACATGTCAAATAATTTACTACGTATAAAGGAAGCACATTTCGCGTGTGAAAGGCCTGTTTCTTCCACATTCCAAATCTAGAAAGACTTATCCATCTTTCTTTATCAAAGACCGAATAACTGTTTAACCAAAAAGGTGCATATAAAATCCATTTGAAATACCTGAGCATTCTCCATTTGCCAACCTTCATTGCATACAGTTCCCCACTGTCCATTTATGAAGATTTCCAGTCGGCCAACTGTATACCTGCTTCCGTTGTGAAGACGAATTCCATTATGGTAAGGAGATGTGACTTTCAAATCGTCCAGATATTGTGAGTTGTTCCTCTTCATTTTGGTGAAAACAACTCGATTACGAAAGTTTCCCATAGCTTGCAGGCAACCTTTGATTCTCAAAGCCACCCCACGATCAAAGTGCAGTTGGACTCCCGGCTGTATGGTTAGGGTGGCATTTTCGGCTACAACGAGGTCTTTTGACACCAAGTAGGGTGTTGCATTTAAGGTAAGGTTTGTATCGACAATAATATCACCCTCGAGACTTGTGCCAGTAACAAGTAAGCCTTGTATGATACAGTTCATGCCCAGCACAAGAAGAACTCGCCATACCACCGCTGACGGACACTTTGCCATTCTGTTAACTATCTTTGTCTTTTGAAGCCTAAAAAGATCGAGAAGTACTTGGTTATCTGAAAGTTCAACCAACGAAAAAACAGACGCCGCGTTCGTAACTAGCTGTTGATAAACGTTCGAATGTGATGTTTTTGTGTCAATGAAAAATAAGATCTTAATTTAGGTGTTCAAGAAAAAAAGGTATATATATATATTCTACGTGACAAAAAAACTTGCTTTGATAGCATGGCTTTCTACTCTCGAGGATAAATCCTTGAATGAAACTAAATTTGGCCGGTTGGATTATAAAACACTCAAGTATTTACGAATACAATAGGTAACATAACGCGATACACAGCTCAAGCATCAGGTATAAGAGGATAGATTCACGCAGCAACGCAGATTTTAAGACGAGAAATATTATTTGAAATTTGGTAACTGGATTTGGAAGGAACCAAGTAAAATAATCCTTTTCCACAAAATGCTGAAGAATGTACTAAGCCAGCTTTTTTTTCCGGCGGAAAGCTCGTCAAGATAACATAACATAACATAACATTTGAAAGTGCTAAGCTATTGCAGTTCTTCGAAATCGCCGCGAACTACTTCGTCTTTAGCAGGTTATAAAGTTTCACTCATACTACAAAGAGCATTTAAGCCTCGAGCAACAGTTTAAGATGTCACCGGCTTCGTGACACACTCGAAATTTGTCATCTAAATCCTAAAAATAGTTGACTCTTTGCTGTGGTTTACCGGTCAAGGTATCCTTGATAAAATTCGTTTACATACTTATTCAAAGAGACCTGATTTTTCCCATGCCGCTTTAAACGATTTGTTTGTAACATTTTGCAGGCTCGACATGAATTCCAACCTGCTGACAAAGTTCCATCACCAACCGCAATTATTACTTATGCGGTCCGCGTCAACAGGAAGCTAACAACTCAACAGCTCAACAGCACCGAAATTTGTCTCTTGTTGACGCTTAAGTGCAGCCATCATCTTGGAATAGATTTTAGATGCCTTAATAAAATCTAATCATGTTCTTGTGGGACAATAGACTTACCAAGGTTGGTTTAGGTCGCACATCACTTTCGTTTTCTCAACCACTGTTCTGTGCGGCTTAAACAGTATTCAAGGCATTACTCAGTGAGTTCAAGGCTACAAAACTATGGAATAAACTAACTGTGTTTGGTGTCAATGTGAAATTAAAAACTTACCTCTCTCTTTACCAATATGATGATGGGAGGAATAGATGTTTAAGCATGTTGTTTGAAGGGCATTCAAAACTCCATCGACTTACATGTTTCACTCTGTAACGTGAGTGTGGTAGCGTGTGCTAGGTATCAGATACATATAGCAAATAATCCCTACATGCGTTATGGAGCACGAGGTCAAAATGGTCTATTTAATTAACTTCGGCAGACATAGATAATATTTTCATTGTATGGGTGCTAAGAGGTGAAAAACATGAATGTTACCAAATTGTGGATCAGGAGACCGCGGAACCTGTGAAACCGGCGGAACCCAAATTTATTTTGCAAAAGAAAAGTAATGAGATAAACTATTAAAACAAAACGACGTAAACATTGTTTGAAAGTTCGCTTTCGAGTACAAAGTAGGATACTTTAAACGAGAAATATGTGTAACGGTCATTGACGTCCAACTTTAATTGCGGCGATATTCACAGAATAAGGGTAATACTATATAATGTCAAACGGAGCAATCAGCTGTGAGCTGCCCTTAGCGTTAATATTTGAACCATAATTTGAAGGCTCTAATGGTTTGGGTACCGCAGGATCCGTGTGAAGCCTCATCCGAAGGCTCTCAGCAAACCATTAGGCTGGAGTTGAAGGCAGTTAATTTCATTTCATTGAGCACGACCCTTGAACGAGGAACACGAACGTTAATTACCATCATCCCCCGTGATACAGTAGAATTTCGGGGTAATCGGGGTGTCTGGAGCAAATTTACAGCGTTTTGCTGCTAGTGAATTCGTTTTGTTGGCATGGCTCACAGACGTGTCTCGGAAAGGATTATAGGATTATGTAAAGGGCCAAGCAAATGAGCTAAAACCCAGCTACACTGACCAAAATCAGCCTAAGAAATTGGCACGGTACAAAAGAACAACTACTTGAGCGGGGTAAATTTGTCCCCATCATAAAATAGTCCAGATCATAGAGAAGGTTAAGATTGCGACTGCTCATTTCCATGCAAATCCTTATCTTTCATCCATTGCACAACGTAAACAAAACTTCATATTTACGGAGGCTCACTTTTTGAACTTCGACTTCCTGTGGTCGGATATCAAGGGCGTCAAAAAATATTTATTTTCTAACATAATCTCCTTTATAACTCGAAAACGAAATTTTACGCAGTATTAAGGTATTTTGTTTTAGCATAAAAGTGGAAGAGTGATCGACAACTGACACCGTAATATGTTTTAATTGATAGAAGAGCTGAAAAATAATCATAAAAAAAAAACATATCTGCGCTTGAAGAGACCCAAATAAGATGAATCTTTGTC